CCTCTCTCTCTCTCCTCTCTTCTCTCTCTCTGTACTCTCTACTCTCTGTCTCTCTCTCTCTCTCTCTCTCTCTCTCTCTCTCTCTCTCTCTCTCTCTCTCTCTCTCTCTCTCTCTCTCTCTCTCTGAATCTTTCATCAACAAATGCCAGTTGAGTTAAGAGATGCATCAGTGAAGTTAGAAGTGTTCACATTGCGGGATCGAACCCTAGACCCCCGGATGTTTCAAACCATCACACTCCTCAATTTTGTTCATTGCCACCTCTCGCTAGCTCTCTTGGGCGCTCTCTTGGGCGCTGTCTTCGGCGCTCTCTTGGGAGCTCTCTTCCCCCTTCTCAATTATGCCTACGCAACACTACTGATAAAAACAATAATAATAAATAGTGTCCATTTTATTATTCTAATATTATTATTATTAGTAATAGTAGTATTATTATAAATTATTAAAAATTATTATCATTAAATTTTGCCAAAACATTATTCAATCAATTTCTATTGCTAATTGAAATTGAATGACAGACCCGCGTCTCTGCAGTCAACTGTACCGTTGGTACAGCAATAGAATATAACAATGTAGCATATCCCTTCCTTATATTTCCAAATAATATTCGAAATCCATTCACAAGTTGCATGGACCAAGTATATAGTGAAAATATGACTTTCTTATTTTTGAACACTGAAAAAATTTATAATTCATAATAATATATTAAATTATTAAAGCCTATTTCAAAGTAATTCAATGTATATCCAAGAATTTCGAAGTAAATGATAGTATATCAAACAATTTAAAAGTAAATGATAGTATATCAAAGCAATTTAAAGTATTTCAAAGAATGTCAACGTATTTCAAAGTATTTAAAAGAATGTTAAAATATTTCAAAGAATTTAAAAGAATGTTAAAATATTTCAAAGTATATCAAAGCAATTTAAAGTTTTTCAAAGACTGTCAAAGTATATCAAAGTATTTTAAATCTAACTTAAATTATATCAAAGAATGTCAAAGTATTTCAAATGTAACTTAAATGATATCAAAGTATTTCAAAGTAATTCAAAGTATACCAAAATATTTCAAGGTATATTACAAAAGTTTTAAAGTAATTCAACCTATTTTAAAATAATTCAAAGTATATCAAAGTATTTCAAGGTATATTAAAAAAGTTTTAAAGTAATTCAACCTATTTTAAAATAATTCAAAACGTATTTTGAAGTAATTTAAAACGTATTTTAAAATAATTCAATGAATTTTGAAGTGATTCAAAACATATTTTAAAATAATTCAACGTATTTTAAAATAATTCAACGTGTTTTAAAGTAATTCAAAACATATTTTAAAATAATTCAACGTATTTTAAAGTAATTCAAAACGCATTTTAAAGTAACTCACCGTATTTCGACGTATTAACAAAGGTGTTCACCCCACAGGTGCCGACGGCTGGCGCCATGATGGAGTGTTTCCCTACAGTAAACACTCCAGGGCTGCCAACCCTCGGAGAGTCACGCCCGAGCAGCAGAACAACACCGTCGTACTCGCGCAGGTTGGCCGCACTGCCACCATCAAGTGCTATACCCATTACCTCGGCGACGAGATGGTAAGTTTCCTCTCACCACCCCACTAAGTTGCCTTCGCTAAGTTGGTCTCCAGGACGCGTTAAGCAAGCGCTCAGAGTCTAGTAAGTTGGTACCCTTGACATAGTAAGCTAGCCTCTACTGACGAGGTAAATTTTCTCGTAATACACAGTTAATTATACTCTCAAAATTAGTGTTAGACTCTAAAAACATTAGTAAGTTAGATTCCCAAAATATAGTAAGTTAGACTCCCTAAATATACCAAGTTAGACTCCCAAAACATAAGTTCCCGTATAGCACCCAGTTGGAAGGTGGAAAGGGGCTATTAACTCTAACAACAGAAGGGTCAGATCGCTTCACACGCCTCGTAATGGACAGTCTTTACCCATTCCATCTCACATTTGCCCTCACTTACTCCTTTCCCTTTTTTTTCCCCACATACCCCTTCCACCCGTACCCTTCCCCCTCCCACCTCCAGCCGTGTTGGACAATGTCAACAATAAATCAGATTCACGAAGCAGTTACGCAAGCACTTATGAACGTGTACATCTTTTCTCATTTTTTGACGTCTTTGGTTACATTTAATAAACAGTTTACAAGCATGAAAACTTCCCAATGAACTGTTGTTATTGTTATAAACTGCCTCCTGGTGTTTCGGAGCTCATTAACTGTTTAATAATTGTAAACAAACCCGCCAAAGATTGAGAAAAAATGTACAAGTTCGTAAGTGCTTGCGTAACTGCTTCTTGAATCTGGCCCCGCAATTGCAGAAATTATATAGTATATAATACACACACACACACACACATATATAATATATATATATATATATATATATATATATATATATATATATATATAATATATATATATATATATATATATATATATATAATATATATATATTCTTGTAGCAGAAATATTTGTTGTGTGCTCTTTAATGCTTGGTCACATGTGGAAAAAGTTCATTATAAACCTCCATTTAAAAAAAATCCTTAATAGTTGTGTTTTGTGAATATATATTTATATAAATGAATATAAATGAATATATAATAATAATAAGTGATATATATAAGAATAAGAATAAGTGAATATGTAAAATAAAACTTGTGAAAGTTTTAGCCTTATAATTTCTTTTGTAAATACCTTAATTACCAATTCCAGAGGTTAGCCAATTACGGCTACATGTCGTAGACCTATTCGTAATGGCTTAGGGTTAAATTAGTTAAGCTTTGTTACTGTGTTAGTTAAGCCTTGTACTTTGTTAAATTGCTGGTAATAAGTCTTTGATCAAAAGCGCTTTTTTCCATATGATCCAGATGAACCAGCACTGATTTTAGGGTGAATTATTTGCCTGATATCTTTTTTACAAAATGTCTGCTCTAGCGCAAAAAAGTTTACAGGAATTTAACGAAGTTTTAAATGACAAACTTTGACCAACTCCGCCAGGCTAAGCAGTTTATAAAGATATTCAGCGCGTGATGCTTCCTGTTTCAGAAAGGAACAGTTCTTACGTTGGTAAACAACTTCGAGAAACATTCAAGAAGGAAAAAATACGGGCTCACCATAGCCCGTGCTACTTGGAACTTTTTGTTCCAGGTAGCGAATCTTTAACAACAAAAATAACAACACATTCAAGAACATATTTGTTCAGCTTGTGTTTACGACCAGTGATTTGGATGTTAGTGCGTGAACTTAGATTTGCTGTTATGAATTTGTTCAAGTAATCGAGGTATAGTAGTTAGTTGACAATATTCGCAGCTAGCTCACATTTTAGAAAAAAACTTTGAATATATTGTTAGATTAGGCTAGATTAGTCTATGCTAGGCTAGGTTAGATTAGGCTAGATTAGTCTATGCTAGGCTTGGTTAGATTAGGCTAGATTAGATTAAGCTAGATTAGTCTATGCTAGGCTAGGTTAGATTAAGCTAGAATAGTCTATGCTAGGCTAGGTTAGATTAGGCTAGATTAGTCTATGCTAGGCTAGGTTAGATTAAGCTAGATTAGTCTATGCTAGGTTAGGTTACGTTAGTATAGATTAAGTTTACTTTGATAGTTGTACAAAGATTCCAAGAACGCGAAAATGGATGAATTATTTTACATATCAATAATGTCCATAACTCTAAAAGAAATACCTAAAATTGCCTGAGAATCGTGTTTCAAATCGATAAAAAAAATCAAAGTAGTACAGAATAAACGAGATGAAATACAATAAATTATAAAGTCAATAAAGAGTGTAATGAGAGAGAAAAGCAAGAAAACAGGAGCTGGAGAACGGACAGTATATCAACCCAGAATACGAGAGACACCCCCGACATCCGGGCTCCGTCAGGGAATGGGAATATTTGTTTCTCATTTAGATGCAAATGCAGGTTAATGAATTGGGTTTTGTGGAGTGGAGGAGGTTGTTGGCGGCGTGTAAGCCTGTGTGTGTGTGTGTGTCTCACCCCCCTACCCTTCCTCTCCCCCCGGCAGGTGACCTGGATGAAGAGGGACGAGGACCAGCTGCTGACGGCTGGGGGACAGGTGTACTCGTCGGAGGACAGGTATGCCGTGACCCACGTCAGACACCAGAGGGTACGTCAACCGCCTTTGTTCTGTCTGTCTGTCTGTCTCTCCTGTTTGGTGTTCCTCACTCCTGACACAGCTGCACTGGTCCTTGACCTCCCTCACACACACACACACACACACAACACACACACACACACACACACACACACACACACACACACACACACACACACACACACACACACACACACACAGAGTCCTACTCTACATATCTGTAATTTATCGTAAACGTGGTCCCATTAACAACAATATATATATATATATATATATATATATATATATATATATATATATATATATATATATATATATATATATATATATATATATATATATATATATATAATCAAAACCCCAACCTTGCAACATGTAAATATACAATATTTACCACAGATTTTTAACATACAACTGTTACCACAAATTAATGATTCTATTTGAACCCAACCATACAACCCATGGTGTTGGCGTGCATGGTGACTGACCCCCTTGACGTTCCTGTTGACCCCCTTGGCGTGCGTGGTGACCCTTGACCTGACCTGGAGCAGCTGTGGGAACTCTCGGTGAGGGACGTTCGCCAGAGTGACGCTGGCCTCTACGAGTGTCAACTCACTACTCACCCTCCAGCTTCACTCTTCTTCACTCTCAAGGTTGTTGGTGAGTGAGTGGTTGTGGGGGGGGGGTAGTTAGTTAGCCTGGTAGGTTGTTAGGGCGGAAGGGAGGATAGCTTGGTAAGGAACTAGGGGGAGATAACTGGTCAAGGAGAGATGGGACGTGGGGTTAGTTTGTTAGGAAAGGTTGGGGATAGATTGTTGGAAAGGGGAGTGGAAGGGACCGGTTAATATGGGATAGGAGGAGGTGATGATGGGGTACAGGTAGACAGCGGGTTGCGGGAGGTTGATAAGTCAGAGAGGGGGGAGGGGAACAGGAGAAAAAGAGAGCACTAAACGATAAAAAGGGAGAATTAGAGAAAAAAGAAAAGAGAATTTGGTGCAGGGGGTACTGACGTAGACTAGAAAGCTAAGGTGTATCTATTGGGATTGTATTTCAACATGCCATCATTGCCCCATATTATATAAGCTTCATTATATAAGCTTTAACTCTTAGTTTACATTTAAAGCACCTCTGATAATGTTGAAGTTCATATCGTATTTCCATTGCAAAATGTTTAACTTTAACTACAATTAAAATGACATAATTTAAACAAATTACTGCGAATGTGTAGTTAGCAAGTTGTCGAGGCCAACTCGCGGAATAATGCCAGTTATTAGTCAACAGTCGCAGTTCATAACCGCTAATAAATTATACTCTACCTTGTATGTATTGTCATAATGCCTGAAGTTAGTATGATCATAGAAAATGGAGAACAATAATTTCACAACTGCCTGTACGAGGTCATCACTATCAGGGTACGGTAGCGCTTCCTGACACTGCAGTCAAAATGAACGAGCAGTTAGGAAAGGGTAATAGTACCACCACCTGAACGAGGCTGTTACAGAGGCGCGAGCGGTGATTGGAGGCGGGCCAGAGGTTCACGTCCACACCGGGGGTCGACTCCGGCTCCACTGCACGGTGGAGCTTGCCACTGAGCCTCCGGATTACATCTTCTGGTTCCACAACAATACTATGATCAACTACTCCCCTCGACGACCCTTGAGAGTCGTCAAGCACCACCTGGCTAGCTCCCTCGTCATCTCCAACGTGACGTGGGAGGACGCCGGGTCGTATACCTGCGAACCTCACCTCGCTCGACCTGCCAACCTCACTCTCCATGTGGTGGAAGGTTTGTATGGAGGGTTCGGTTCGTTTTGGGGTTCGTAATACAACGCACGGGTTAAATGCTCACTTGTTAGTGAAAGAGATTGTCTTGTTTTTTTTATACTGAAGTCAATTTCACTGTGTTCGAATCAGTGATTCGAATTGAACTATATATATAAAACTACAAATAGTTGTATAAATTGTGTGCGTGTGTATGTGTGTTGCTCACTTGTTTCGAATCAGTGATTCGAAACAAGCTTCACTCACTCCCAGTTTGAAACTTTAAAAACGTCATAAATCAATGTAAACACCTAACCTAACCCAACAATATCTTATGATATTAATAAGAAAATATTGAGGCAGTACCATGTTATTGAATCCGCTATCAATGACGCCCCAGTGTTCGATCCCATCGTCCAGCCCCCGTGTTTTCTCATAGATAAATCAATCACTTGTGATTGAATGTTTCATATGAATTTACATTAGTTAAGATCCCGTTCTGTATTCCACAGAACGAAGGGGTTCACCCTCTCAGGTCCCAGAGGTATACGTCAAATAATGACATTATTATTGCGAATGTTATTTTTTTCTTAAGAAAGAGACTAGGTACTTCCCTCTATCCCTCAGGATTATGAATGGGATATCCAGTGTAGTTCTGATGATGGGACGTGATGTGAACATTATAAATAGAACATTATAAGTAGAACATGAGTGAACATTATAAGACAGGCCTTTCCTTGACAAATGTATAATGATTTTACTAAGCTCCTTCAGCACTTGCTGAAGTGCCGTCTCTTCCTCTTGGAAATAACAAATATTGGTGCATTTTCACTTTTCATTTTCGAATGCAACACTGGGAATAGTGATATTGACTTTCTGCTCTCCCGTTTGTTGCTGTATTTTGCGTTGCTTGTTTTCGTTTGAACTGTTGTATGTTTCTGTTTGTTCTCTGGCTTGTTCCTGGCCACCCTTCACCCTGTTCCTGAACACTTTTACTCACTCCAACTTCCAAAACAGTGATGTATTGTGTGAATACTGGATACCGCTGATGTCACCCTTGGCCATCCTCCATAACCTGTGGAGGATTTCACTCCTGTGATGTCACCCTTGGCCATCCTTCACAACCTCACGTCACTCCTGTGATGTCAAGTTTGGCCATCCTCCACAACCTCACGTCACTCCTGTGATGTCAAGTTTGGCCATCCTCCACAACCTCACGTCACTCCTGTGATGTCAAGTTTGGCCATCCTCCACAACCTCACGTCACTCCTGTGATGTCAAGTTTGGCCATCCTCCACAACCTCACGTCACTCCTGTGATGTCAAGTTTGGCCATCCTCCACAACCCTTGACAATCCTTCATAACCTCACTCTTAGGAATATGTTTATTGACTATTTTGCATTATTTACAAGGACTCTTTTAAACTCATCTTTCATAAGACGATTCGATACGATAATGTGCATTCCCTTAGCATTCTGGTCGCCTCCTACAAGTGGTCTAATGTCCCCCTCTTTCCCCCCCCCCCCGAAATGGTGTGGTCTGCTCCCTTCCTCAGTGGTCCAAACACTGACCGGCGACCAACGAAAAATCCAATTTAAGTTTTCCCCGAACGTGTGTTGCAAGTTGATTGTCCGTTCTTTTAGGAAATTCGCATTGAGTGGTCTTTTTTTTTCTCTCTCTTCCTTTTCTTATGTTTCTTTTATTTCCTTCCTTTTATTTTACTTATTTTTGTTCTATATATTAATATTTTTTTTAATTAGTTTAATTTTGTTGTGTTAAATGTGGTTTGTTGGGTGATTGTTTGAGACACTAACTACGTTGTTTGGTTGTTTCATTGTAGTTTTATGATGGATGTTCGTGATGTATGACGAGGATTCGTAAACAAACACGCATTTTTTTGTGGCGTGCGTGTGTATTTTCTACAGTATTTGTATTTACTATTTGTCCCTGCTTGATCGAGGTGTTAGCTCCTGGGCCCCGCCTTTCTAACTGTCTGTTGTTTAATGTGCGGATTCTCGAACTGTTGTTTCTCTTATTATATCTGATGCTTAAATTTCACCCTAAACACACACACACACACACACACACACACACACACACACACACACACACACACACACACACACACACACACACACATGCCCAGGATGCAGCCCGTAACAGCTGTCTTACTCCCAGATACTTCTTTACTGCTAGGTGAACAGGGCCATCGGGTGAAAGAATGCCCATTTGTTTCTGCCTCGACCGGGAATCGAACCCGGGCTCTTTGGGTTTCGACTCCCTAGTGCTGTCCGCTCAGCCTTTTACTTGCTTCTGTGTACTCACCTAGTTGTGCTTTCGGCTCTTTGGTCCCGCCTCTCAACTGTCAATCAACTGGTGTACAGATTCCTGAGCCTACTGGGCTCTATCATATCTACATTTAAAACTGTGTATGGAGTCAGCCTCCACCACATCACTGTCTAATGCATTCCATTTATTAACTACTCTGACACTGAAAAAATTCTTTCTAACGTCTCTGTGACTCATCTGGGTACTAAGTTTCTGTGTCCCCTTGTTCGTGTCCCACCCGTGGTGAAGAATTTGTCTTTGTCCACCCTGTCAATTCCCCTGGAAATTTTGTAGGTGGTTATCATGTCTCCCCTTACTCTTCTGTTTTCCAGGGATGTGAGGTTCAGCTCCTTTAGCCTTTCCTCGTAGCTCATTCCTCTCAGTTCCGGGACCAGCCTGGTGGCATACCGCTGGATCTTCTCTAACTTTGTCTTGTATTTAACTAGGTATGAACTCCAGGCTGGAGCTGCATACTCTAGGATTGGTCTTACATAAGTGGTATACAAGGTCCTGAACGATTCCTTACACAAGTTTTTAAAGGCAGTTCTTATGTTGGCCAGTCTAGCATATGCCGCTGATGATATCGTTTTGATGTGGGCCTCTGGGGACAGGGTCGGTGTGATATCAGCCCCAAGATCCTTCTCTCTATTTGACTCTTGCAGGATTTCACCTCCCAGATGGTACATTGTGTTCAGCCTCCTGCTCCCTTCGCCTAATTTCATCACCTTACACTTTCCTGAGTTGGACTTTAGCAGCCATTTTCTAGACCATTCCTCCTAGACCTGTGTGTGTGTGTGTGTGTGTGTGTGTGTGTGTGTGTGTGTGTGTGTGTGTGTGTGTGTGTGTGTGTGTGTGTGTGTGAGAGAGACGCTCACAGACCGTCTAACCACTAGAGTGTGACAGGCACGGAACTTGATTACGTCAATTGGAACGCCACATTAAAATTTCTGTTTAGTGAGCAATTTGTCTTGCCTATTGTTTATTTTTCAAATATTATGAATTATGTGAGAAAGTTGCATGAACGCGCAAGCCATATATCACTAAGAACTCTTTGACCCGGCCAGGATTCGAACCCATGCCGTCCAGGATCACCCCTAAACGTACACAGTACCGTGACCACCGCACCAATGATCGTCTATAAGGATTGGTCAGTCAGTTGTGTAATTATCACTGGTGTAATTTTTACAATATGTTGTTGTTTAAGATTTGCTACCTGGAATAAAAAGTTCCAAGTAGCACGGGCTATGGCGAGCCCGTAATTTATAGTAATGCAAGTATATGCAAGTAATTGACCAATATTTATAAAGTTTCTTTTTTATTAATTTGAATAATATTTTAGTTTTATTCTTAACAGAGATCTGAATGAGAGTTACCCATCGAGATCATAATTTATTTAACATAACTATTATATTAAGATTACTATTTTTATTATTATTATTTAAGATTTTGGTCTAAGAATAAATTAATTTGTAAAACTTTTACCCATTGGAACTTGCCATATTAGTCATTTTCCTTATTTTTTTTAAATAACTATTTTAAGGATGACTTATCTGTTTTCACTCTAGATAACATAAAAATTTATGTGACTATATAATATAGATTATCGATAGTCTTTATATATTTCTAACATCTAATTTCAGGTGAAAAACACGCTGCTCTTCACAAGGGTCACAACGATGGGGCGGAGCAAGAGGTCGCCGCCTCTCGGAGCTCCTCCCACTGCCTCGCTACGCGGCTCCTTATTGGCTACTGCTGTTTGTTGACAAATTTAATTCACGCCTACTTTGAATATCTAACCTCTAGCGGCTCCTCGTGGTTATGAAGTGTGGGAAGCATCACCTGTACTGTGTGTCTTAACTGAAAAGAATCTTCGTTAGATTTCGTATGTGGTGGTAGTTGGCTAATCATGACAAGTTAACTAGTGTCTCATTCGCGAAGCCTCGTACCCAGAAGCTGTCTGGCGCCAAGGCCGTTCGTTCCCAGCATGAGAACGGTCCACGGTCCCACAAGGTCCCACATGGTCCCTCATGGTCCCACATGGGACATGGACGGGTCCCCACCTCATTAAACCGGAGCAATACATCCCGAAGCTTGGCGACGGTGCGCTCTATTCAACCTACAGCGTCGTAGAGGGGGAAAGAGAGGGAGGAAGAGACCTGTTGACTGCCCACACCCTGGTAAGGTGTATACAGTACTCCGGACGCATCTTCGTCTGACTTCATAGCCATCTGAGGTCCTCAGGAAGGGTTGAGGACATCATAAGTTGCTGTAATTAATGTGGTGTGCAATATTGCTCGGTAAAGCATTGCGCTTATCAATGTAATGTGCAAGTTGACAAATTGCAATAAAGTTCCATTTCTTGGGCGCCTCTGAGGCTGTATTTCCTTTCAAACATTAAGACAATATACAAATGCCTTCCACTTACTTTTGTATGATCCCCACCAGGTCATATATGACCGCTAATAGCTAATAAATGACCATCACCTGCATATGTATATGACATTAGCCTATTCATTACCTCAGTCTACGTTTAAGTGGAAGTTTACATATAATATCCGCCAGATTACATATAACTAATCTGCTCACGTTTTAGAAAATGGTAACGAACTATTCAGACAAAGGACTTTCAGTTGACGTAGTATGCATGGGCTTCCCTCACACTTTAGATAATGAGAAAATCCGTAGGAGCCGTGATGTGGGTTCGAACCTATGCCGTGGGTAGTCCCGTGTGGTACTTTTTATAATGTACCACGTGAAAGATTGGCTAGAAAATTACAAACACATAGAATGAATGTTAAAATTCCTAAATGTATACAGCATTGGTTTAAGCAGTGTCGTCCTAAGTCGAAATGAATCTGACTGAAAAATATGATGAGTGGGGTACCGCAAGGTACTATACCCTCGAAATACTGAACAAATTGGAGGATATTGATCCAAATCACTTCTTTAAAAGGTGAGATATAACACGATCAAAGAGCAGCGGTTTCAAGCTCAACAAGCCACAATGTAGGACAGAAAACCTGAGATGCTTTTTCAACCACTGGGTTATAAACCCATGGAACTTCCTACCCTCCAAAGCCATAAATGTACCTGAATTTACTTGACGGGCACATCTCTGTAGTGTCCCCGACGAGGACAGGATGCCGGCGCCTTATCAGAAGTCTCCCAAGACATTACTTCAGTTTAAAATCCAGTTGGAAAAAATCATCTAGACAATGGGAGGAGGGGTATCCTTCGACAAGGCGCCGGCTCCCTATCTCCGTCAGGGCCATTAGAGAGAAATTGAACTAAAAGTAATTACGGGTAAATAAAATGGGTAGAGCCGAATATGCTCGTTTTCTCTATATCCTTAAAACACAGAAAACGAACATTGTGAGTTACAGTGTGAGTGTATAACGATGTTGGTACTATCAACTATAACTACAATAATAATAATAATAAGTATTAACTAGTATGTACCATATAGCATCTGATGGTTTAGTTCTTTTATTATATATCCTGCCCGAAACGCTGTGCGTACTAGTGGCTTTACAAGAATGTGAACACATCATGCTATGTACTCTCATAAACCCAATGTAACCTCTTGTATATACAGTATATAAATACAAAATAAATAAATAAATCCTCATAGCCATTCAATGAGAGGCAGCGCACATCATACCGATCCTGAGTAGTAGTGGAAAAAGATTACAGAGACACATAATGTGCTCAGAAAATGAACCCCAATATTCGTTTAACTAAGTTACAGCATTGATGAGCAAGTTACAGAGTTTCTTAAATTTTACATTAACACTATTCACAATTGTTTAGATACAGGATAACGTAAATTTTAAGAGAACAAACATGAGTTTAAACAGAAACTATCAGATCACAATTGGGTATCACATATAACAAGTTTGAAGACGGTAGTGGGTGTGTGTGTGGACAAAAGAGGAACCGCTTACCCGCCGAAGCCGTAATTGCTAAAAAATGTGTTCTGTTTGCAAATCTACCTGGGAAAGATCAATACAAATATGGGGACTTTGGACAAGCCGCCGGCTTCCTGACCTCATCGAGGGTAAATCAGATACAAAACGCAGTCATACGTGACCTTCTGGAGATAGGTCCACCCAAGATGTATAAGTGTTAGATATGAATAAATTTGGCTGCAGGAGATAGATGAGGAAGTAGAAAAAGTAACAAATGAGTGAGTAAAGATACGCATAGATTAGTTAGTAAAGTTGATAGATGAGTGAGTAGCATTAGATTGAGTGAATAATAGAATGGTAGATAACCGAGTTACTTAATATCTCATTTTTCATAAATATATCAACTATTTGCACTTTTGTTTCTTTAATTTTAAAATACCTCCATTAATCTAAGATCAAAGATAATTGTTTATAACATTAATTGTTTAATTAATGTTAATTAATTGTAATTGTCTATAACATCAAAGTCAGCTTCATCAAACAGTTGCTTTTCAAATTAGTCTCCCATTTGTTTCAGAAAACGACTGTTTATTCATGGGTACACTAGTGTGAGGGGAACCTTTATGATTCCAGTATTCTTATCCTTCCTGATGGAATTATGGACTTATCGAGCATCTTATATTAAAGAAATCATTGTCTATTAATACGTTCCGAGTTTGTCTGGAAAATGACAGTCATAAAAACGACTGCTGTACACCTGTCCAAGGTTAAATTGTGTTCAAAGTTTGTTTAGCTTCCCGTCTTAATATTTTAAAAGATGCGTTAGTCTTTATCATTGTCCTTGTTTGTGTTTGTTTTAATTGCATTATTGAGAATTAGTAATTTATTTTATTGCATTATATAAATCATTACCAGTTTTCTATATTTTGTTCTTAATATTTATTTTCATTATCTTCAATGTTCGTAAATTTTATGAAAAATAATTCAGATATTTACTTGAGTTTCGTCAAATTGACAACTAAATTAAAGTTTCATTTATATATATATTAATGTGTGGATATTCTTATTATATTGATCATTGAATGTAAGTAGAGTTTTGTATTCTAGATAAGTCATTATCATTGCGCTTAAATTCATTCAGTTATGTATTTCGTCTGAGCAACAATCCATATTGTGTTCGTTCCAATCTTCGTCGTCGTAGGTACCATCAGTTTTGGATGACAGGTTCATTATCGCTGTTGTTGTTTTAAGATTCGTTACCTGGAACAAAAAGTTCCAAGTAGCACGGGCTATGGTGAGCCCGTAGTTCATTGTCGCTTTTAAACATCAAAATAACATTTCGACTAGATTTTAACCTAGATTTTCAACAATGGTGTTCTTTCTTAACTGCTGAAGTGTGACTCTCGTCGATCTGATGAGAACATCGCAGGCACTCTCAGAGATAGTGTAATTGTTTCGTGATGAATTCGACCAGTTCGTGCAGCGCAGGACTCGCTTCATGCAGGTCGGCGTTCAATCCCCGACCCTCCAAGGTGGTTTTGCCCCCATTCCTTCCCCCCTCCCTCCCCGTCCCATCCCAAATCTTTATCCTGACCCCTTCCAAGTGCTCGTAATGGCTTGGCGCTTTCCCTTCAAAACTCTCTTCCCTTCACTCCTGAGCAAAATTCTAACCTAATCGTGCAGCGCAGGTGTGTCCTACACCTGACGCTGGCATGATACGTGGCACTGCTGCCTCTGGCTTCACTACAACAGCTGCAGAAATCATACAGGGGCTCTTAAGTCTAGATATCCAGGAACATTACTGTGTATGGTATACACAGTAATATATAAAAATACATCTACCTCGGTAGCTATTCTTGACACATTGGTGTTGAGTATCACTCAATGTCACTACTTAATGAGGTGATCCATCGGACGTTTTCCGAAACCGCTTGAGTACAAGATATTCGGAACACAATGAACTCAGAACTCGGCTGATCACTGTAGCAGTGAGGACAGTGAGGTGGACTGGCCGAGCAGCCCGTATGCACCTCCGTGCGATCTCAATTAAACACTGGAACACTCGGCTCAAAATAAGTCCGGTACTTACAGCTTCAGAAGCGTTCGTGCGTCCTCTCGACATATAACATAGCAGCTTCTACACGTGTTCCTTGGTGACACGTAATGGCCACAGCAGCTGGTTGGTGAGGACGAGAGATGGCTGGTGGAGTTAGATGTAGTGTTGACCTGCCTCAGACTAGCGAAGAGGTGTTGACCAGACCACACACTAGAAGGTGAAGGGACGACGACGTTTCGGTCCGTCCTGGACCATTCTCAAGTCGATTGTCGACTTGAGAATGGTCCAGGACGGACCGAAACGTCGTCGTCCCTTCAACTTCTAGTGTGTGGTCTGGTCAACATACTTCAGCCACGTTATTGTGACTCATCGCCTGCATAGCGAAGAGGTCATTACACATGAAATGGGTCCACCTTCCGCAGTAGCTGAACTCGTACCCTGCTCCAGTCTACGTGGCAACAAGATACCATGTTTCTTCAACGCCAGATCTTCACTTGTCACGTGACTCCAAGTATAGTCTTCGTTAACTTGATAACCTGAACTCTAGGTCATGGAGCTTAGAGACGTCCGTCGTGAATGACGAACGATGCTACAATTCCGGCTCTTGAAGGCTGCCGTATACTGACAAAACATGAACTTCCGAAATAATAAAATGCCATATAAGATAAAAAATATGGTCTATATAATCCGCTCAACAACTTCACTGAAATGACCCTTACAAAAAATCCATCCTACAGATTTTCATTTAATGTCAAAGGCCCTTAGTTTCATACCTTCGATTTAGGCAATTTTCACTTATTTTATTTTGTAATTCTTCTCGAGTTGCGTCGACCTGATAATCTCACCTGTCTTAAAAATTCATATACATATACATATACATATATATATATATATATATATATATATATATATATATATATATATATATATATATATATATATATATATATATATATATATATATATATATATATATATATATAGGCAAATGTGACATGTAATCTTACTGTTAATCAGGTGCCTGGCAGCCTAGCATCCGCATCAAGACATAAATATTTTTTTATGTTATTAAATACCGTTCCTGTTTTTCCTGTTCTTATCGCTGTCACGATGGTAGTCTCTTGTATAATATATTTTTCCTGGTAATATTTTTTTTATCATGAAGAATGGTTTATAAATATGATATTACATTGCACAATGCCACGAGGTGGAGATGTATTTGTGAGGTGTTATTGCTTGTGCATGAGGAGTCCAAGCACGCAGGTTCGATCCCATTAAATAGCTCCAATATTTTGTCTTATTTTACAATATAAGAAGTTCTTTTGGGGTCAAGAAGGTCTTGATTAAATGACCAAAATATAGTCCCTCAAAACTTATATAATATATATAATATACACACATAAATCACTATAGCGTGATATATCAAATGAGCAAATCCACAAGGGGCCCTGATAAGAGTTCGAGCCTACGCACGGGATGTTTCCAGATGGGCCTTAGTCAACTGTGCCACGACATGGTAAAAGAATTGTAACTTGTTTGTAGGTTGTAATTCTTTCACCTTATCGTGGCATAGTTCAGGGCATTGTGTCGTTAGCGCATGTCTAGAGAGAGAGAGAGAGAGAGAGAGACAGAGACAGAGACAGACAGATGGCAAGCTGTGAAGACATAATAGCAGACATTTTCACAGAGTATAATTAACCAGAGTATAATTGGGAGCCGGTCGGCCGAGCGGACAGCACGCTGGACTTGTGATCCTGTGGTCCCGGGTTCGATCCCGGGCGCCGGCTAGAAACAATGGGTAGAGTTTCTTTCACCCTATGCCCCTGTTACCTAGCAGTAAAATAGGTACCTTGGTGTTAGTCAGCTGTCACGGGCTGCTTCCTGGGGGTGGAGGCCTGGTCGAGGACCGGGCCGCGGGGACACTAAAAAGCCCCGAAATCATCTCAAGATAACCTCAAGATAACCCTACTTCCTCACGTGAAATATATAAGGAGCAGCGATATACCACCTCCTATAGAGGAGCATCGATATACCACCTCCTATATAAGAGCATCGATATACCACCAAGACCTCCCGTCACGACGACTCGTAGCACGAGTCGTCGTCCTCGTCGTCGTCGGGGTCATCAGGGGGTCACAGCCCTTGACACGTGATTTAGAACACTATTGTACAGCCTATGGTACACCTCGTGGTACACAGTATGGTACACCTCGTAATACATATCATGGTACACCCTTATGATGCGCCTCGTGTTTCACCTTACGGTACACTTCTAAGGTACACCTCGTAATACTCCTTGTGGTACAGCCTGTGGTACACCTTATGGTACACCTGGGGGTATTATGGTACACACCTGTCACACGGTAAGTAAGAGGGCGCATGCGCGCATGTGTGGAGAATTATATTGAAGCGCCAACACAGACAAGTTTGTTCTGTCGATGGTGATGGAACTATTGGTAGATCTGCTCACCGTTAATGTAACTGTGACTACTGACGGTGTTACTGTGACTACTGCCGTTACTGATCAATAACACTGTTGTTGCCAATACCACCGTTGTTGTTCCATTGTTCTTGCCAATACCACGGCTGTTAATCCACTGATTACTGCTACTGCTTCTTATAGTGTATTGATTCTGCTAATGGCCCCTGCCGCTGCTGCTGTCGCTAATATTACTGCTGCTGTTGCTACTGATGTTGCAAATAGCAACCTTGATGTCGGAGAGCAGCTTATCACCTGATCATTTCTGGCGGGAAACGCGTTCTTCGGCTCGACTGACAGTCCCACGCGGCCACAAGACCTGTCACCATGCGTCCGCTCTACCTGGCTCTAGTCCTAGCGATGTCCTCGACGGCTCTGGCGGCTACCACCTCTAAGATGTTCCGGGTAGAAGGACCGCCGCCGCCCTCCACAGCCTCCTACACCCTCGAGGAGCTGATATCTTCCTCTTCGGTGTCCTTCTTGGCCTTCGTCAAGAACGCGACGGGGCAGCCGGCGGGAAAGAATCAGGTCGTTCGTGTACAGCCGATCCAAAGCCCGTGTGTCCGGAGCAAGACCCTCTCGCCCTTCAGCCTGAGCATCGTGGCAGATCTTGACAACGGCTCCTCAGATGGCCTGTGGCACTTCCCGTTCAGACGGACTTATTATATAATCTTTCTGGAGAAGACCCAGGAGGCGGGAGTCTTCCGTCCGTTGGGGGCGCGAGAGACCTCGCAAGAAGCGTTCAGTGATATGCGGGAGAAATACTACAGACACTTCAAGGGTCAGTACGACAGTCTTTTGTTTTGTTATTGTCGTGTTTATCAGTCTTGGTAACAGATATTTTTATGAATGTCCTCTGTTTCGTGCACTTAACTGGTGTGTGAGAGTGCAGGCGAGTGCGTTTCACTCTGTGTATGCGTATATCATCACTTATGTACGAGGAATGTGTATGTCACTAAAATTGTGTTTCAATATGTGGATGTATACGCCAGTATGTGTACATATGTGCATTAGACAGCTGGATTTATTAGCAAATAAAACATACAAAAAATAGGGGAGGTAGAATACAATACCGAAATCCATACCTGGGGTCCAAGATGAATTCCCCGGAAGGTCATTTATTCTCTTCACTGAGACAAAGGGTCCTCACATCAACCAGTGGTGGTGGCCCCCATCCCTCTCATATATTTATCGTAATTTATTAACGTCTATGTTCATGTAATTGTTATTATGTTCTCGTATTTGCCTACTCCCATAGGCTGTTGGGCACTTAAACTCACCTTGACCACTTCTTCGTGGTACATGGTGGAGAATGTCACCACCTACCACCTGTCTCAGGGGTACAGGGTGGAGGCCACGACCCCCACCTACCACCTGTCTCAGGGGTACAGGGTGGAGGCCACGACCCCCACCTACCACCTGGCCCCTGGAGCCACCTTCAACCTCACCTGCCAGGCCTACAGAGTCGTCGACGACCCCTACAGAGCCTTCTCGGGGTACGACCTGACCATTGTCACTCCCGGTGGACGACGGCTCAGTAAGGTACTAATTCAAGTGTCATTGGCTAGTACAGTTGTTATTGTTAAAGTTTAGAAAGTTGTTGTTCGAGTTAAGGAAGTTGTTGTTCGGGTTAAGAAAGTTATTTTTCAAGTTAAGAAAGTTACTCTTCAAGTTAAGAAAGTTATTTTTCAAGTTAAGAAAGTCATTTTTCAAGTTAAGAAAGTTATTTTTCAAGTTAAGAAAGTTATTTTTCAAGTTAAGAAAGTCATTTTTCAAGTTAAGAAAGTAATTTTTCAAGTTAAGAAAGTAATTTTTCAAGTTAAGAAAGTAATTTTTCAAGTTAAGGCAATTGTTCACATTAAGAAAGCGATTGTTCAAGTTAAGAAAGTAATTGTTCAAATCAAAGAAGTTACTTTAAGTGCTCAAATAATCGCCAACAGAACCTATAAACACCTAACCAAACCAACTTCTAATTTTACATAGAACTTCAATATAAAATAATAACGTATGAGAATAAACCATTTTGTTTAATGCACAATACGTTAAAATTGATGAATGTATCTGTGTGTGTAGGTGAGGGGCAAGGAGGCAGCCGCTGCTTTAACGAGCTTAGCCTGAGGACAAAGTACTTCACCCACGTATTGCAAATGCAAATATTGGCCAACAGAACCCAAATGCATAACATAATCTACCCCTAGAACTACACATACACAACATTTTAAAGCACAATATAATAATTTGTATTTGAGGAAATACTGATTTGAATTATGGATGATTACTGTTGATAAACGCGTCACTGGGATTGGCCGAGGCTTGGCCGAGGTTTGGTCGAGGCTTGGCCGTGGCTTGGCCGAGGAGGGGTTGGAAGAGATTATCACTATTTTAAGATAAGATGGTACATATTATCACTATTTTAGATGGTACATAATAGATTATCACTATTTTAAGATGGTACATATGCACTTTGTACCATCACCAGGGCCCAGTCAAGAGTCTTGTCTGGCCAGACCTCAGGGCGACTGTCAGGACAACCGTGACGTCAGAAGATCCAAACGTGACGTCAGAAGACCCAAGCGTGACGTCAGAAGACACAAGAGTGACGTCAGACGGTGTGACGACGTCGTCAGAGCCGCTAACGGTGCCAGGAGAGTACGGGTGCCTGGTGCTATGGCCGGGAGAGCCTGGAGTCCTCACGAGTGCCACTATTAACGTAGGAGTCATTGGTGAGTTAGGGCGGGAACGATTGGGTCAGCTGTGTCTCAGGGCGGGAAAAATTGTCAGCTGTGTGTCAGGGCGGGAACCATTGCGTCAGCTGATGTCAGCTGTGCAACAACCTGTCCTCCCGTCTAACACGTCGCAATTTATTTACCAAAAATTGACCAATCCGCTGAAAATGCGGATTGGTCAATTGGATTGTTTCTACTCAGGCAAAACAGTAACCCAACCTACACACACTCACGTTCCACCTACTTTCTTTTTTTACCCACGCCGGCTGGAGGAATATGTGATGTGTTGCTTCTCCTCCTCCAGATTCACAGAGAGCCCCAAGTCTCAGTGTCGATCCTCCTTCGAGGCTCAACCACACCCTCGACCACACTGTCGACCTCAAGCAGAGCGCGGACGTCTTCGACACCAGCAGCCGTACGGAGCCAGCCACTGTCGACTGGATTATCCGGTTTTCTACTTGTCTGGAACCGTATTTCATCTGGACGCATCCTAGTGGTAAGGAACGGCAGCTTCAGTGATAACAAATGCACATTTGTTAGATTATAATGAATAAACCCAAATGACTTCAGTTTTCAGTGATCGTAGCACATTCTGTAAATCCTAGAATTTCAGTGTCTGTCTGTCTCTGTCTGTCTGTCTGTCTGTCTGTCTGTCTGTCTGTCTGTCTGTCTGTCTGTCTGTCTGTCTGTCTGTCTGTCTGTCTGTCTGTCTGTCTCTCTCTCTCTCTCTCTCTCTCTCTCTCTCTCTCTCCTCTGTCTCTGTCTCTCTCTGTCTCTCTCTGTCTCTCTCTCTCTCTCTCTCTCTCTCTCTCTCTCTCTCTCTCTCTCTCTCTCTCTCTCTCTCTCTCTCTCTCTCTCTCTCTCTCTCTCTCTCTCTCTCTCTCTCCTCTCTCTTCCTCTGTCTCTGTCTCTCTCTCTCTCTCTCTCTCTCTCTCTCTCTCTCTCTCTCTCTCTCTCTCTCTCTCTCTCTCTCTCTCTCTCTCTCTCTCTCTCTCTCTCTCTCTCTCTCTCTCTCTCTCTCTCTCATTTTTCTTTTTTACTTCTACCTCCTCACCCACTATTTTCTCGATATGTACCATGATAACAGCACTGTTATCGCTACCGTTGTCGGCTGGCTCCCGCAGGAAAGGTGCTCCTGAACGGGACCTGTACAGAGGTGGGACAGGAAGATCAGTGTCACCAGGGCTTCCTCACCCTGCATCTGTTACCTCCTTACACCCTACAAGACGCCGGGGACTACAACCTTACTCTCCTCCTCCAAGGTCACCCTCCAGGCAGCGTCCACACCACCTTTGACGTCTTCAGTAAGAAATGATTCACAACTTGGTCGTAATTACAAATACAAAATACAAATATGTATTCAGGTAAGGTACATACATACAAGGGTGAAATACAAAGGTTGATGGATTTATAGATAGAGATAGTACATACAATGCCTCAAGCCACTATTACGCTAAGCGTTTCGGGCAGGAAACACTGTCCCAATTGTCCCAATTGTCCCAACAAACACTGTCCCAATTTGTTATAATTTAGAATTTCGGAAAAACTTTTGATCTTGTTTGCACTGATTTAGAATGATATCCTATTTTTATGTCGTTAAAATTATTGTAGTGTGTAGTCTTAATGTGGTGATCTTATGATATAATAGTTTACGATTTGTTTTGCACTCTATTTTCCGCTATATGTCTCTTAGGATATAGCCATGATTGATATAACTTATATATTTAATCTAAATGTTGTTGTTGTTATAGATTCAGCTACTGGGAACAAAAAGTTCCAAGTAGCACGGGCTATGGTGAGCCCGTGGTGCTCTAAATGGGTTAGAGGATCTTAAGAAAGAGCGATAGTCCCGTCCACCTCATCTCCCGGGAGGGATCAAGATGAGTCTTACGATAAGCTTAGGAGAAAATGTCTTAAGATCTCTGCCATACCTGGATTGTACCTGGATGGGGTTCTGGAAGTTCTTCCACTCCCCAAGCCAGGCCCGAAGCCAGGCTTGACTAGTGAAAGCTTGGTCCAACAGGCTGTTGCTGCTTGGAGCGGCCTGCAGGCACACATTTCCACCACAGCCCGGTTGGTCCGGCACTCCTTGAAGAAAACTATCTAGTCTTCTCTTGAAGATGTCCACGTGTGTTCCGGCATAGAGAGACGCAGAACAGTTGAACTAAAATCAAGACGCATTCTAGTCACCTTCTTGATGTCGACGAGAAATTAACTGTTGACGTAGTTTGTTGTGATTTCTTTCCCCCCATAAATTAGGACCCTCAAGCCATCTTATCTTGAGGTTATCTGGAGATGATTTCGGGGCTTTAGTGTCCCCGCGGCCCGGTCCTCGACTTGGCCTCCACCCCCAGGAAGCAGCCCGTGACAGCTGACTAACACTGAGGTACCTATTTTACTGCTAGGTAACAGGGGCATAGGGTGAAAGAAACTCTGACCATTGTTTCTCGCCGGCGCCCGGGATCGAACCGGGGACCACAGGATCACAAGTCCAGCGTGCTGTCCGCTCGGCCGACCGGCTCCGACCATAGGCGAGGCTGCATCAGTACAATCACCCATCCAGTTACTGGCTTCATCCAACCGTGCCGCAAGCGACCGAACGATTGAATAATTGAGAATCTCATTGACCCATACAAATCGCGTGTCTTTATTTAATCCGTAAACCATTGTATTTTGTTTCTTTTTCTACTGAAATTGCATGTCCTTGTGATGTGTTGCAATTGTAATGTAAAACACTGTGTTGTGATTCCACTTCCCTCCCTGCAGGCGCGCCTTTCAACACAAGCGTTACCATGGAGACGACGCGAGGCTACGTGTTGATTAACCAAGACGTTAAGGTTAAGTGTCGCTCCTGGGGAAACCCTACCCCAAGCCTTGCCCTCTACCCTTGCTCCAGTGCCGACTGCACCTCCAAGGACGAGGTAAATAAACACTTGAGACGCGCGTACATCTAAATAATAACATAACACACTGAACGCTAAAATGCTTCACATATCCTCTAACTTTAAAACATTGCTCACATGACTAAGCGTCCTCATAAAACTTCATATAAAAAGCTGTATATTCCCTTCTGTTGTTATTCCCCGACAGGCGGTAGAGGCGAGGGCCTCGGACTTCCAGCAGGAGACCCGGGGATCGCAGGTGGTGCGGGAGTGGACGCTGACGGCAGCAGAGTCCAGGCCGTACACCTGCAGGGCCAGGAACACCTACGGCAGCCACACCTCCAGACCCGTTCACCTGCTGGTGTCAGGTGGGTGGCTTACCTCCTGATTCTCTAGGGAAGTCTCATGTCCAAACCACGCAGCAGAAGATGGAGGAACGACGACGTTTCGGTCCGTCCTGGACCATTATTAAGTCGTATGTGGGGCTTGATTGATGTGAGGCATGATTGATGTGAGGCATGATTGATGTGAGGCATGATTGATGTGAGGCTTCATCATATCATCAGCCACGTTATTGTGACCCATCATCTCCATAGGGAAGTCTGCCTGTTGGGAGAGTTGCAGTCTCGGTGTCACAGTTGGCTTCATTCTCGACTCACAATTGGGAATCCCAGGCGGGATAGAAGTGGCTAGGCACGTATCCTTTCACCTAATGCCTCTCCTCACCTAACAGTAAATTGGTACCCGGGAGTTGGTGAACTGTTGAGGCGCTGCATCCTGGGAAGAGATGTTTGATGAGGATCCTGGTCGATCCTTTCATCCTGGGAAGGGATGAAAGGTGTTTGACCTTTTGGGGGGTGGGGGAGAGAATCCTTGATACCAGCCTAACATATATGTATATATGCACAGGCTGCCTGTCACCCGATATGATTATTTATTATTCAAAAGTCTGTCGCGTGAGATACTCGTCTTACCAGAGTAACATTCAAGAATGAGGGACAACATCTCCGTCGGGATATTAATGATGAAGATCACCCTAAATCTTGTCTTTCACGATTTCTTCTGGTTTTATAAACATTTTGAAATTGGTAGATGTGAACATTGTGCGCCATGAACGAGGCCTCGGAGCTGTCGTACCTAACTCTTAATTTGCAAGGATTACAGGTAAGATGCCTTGTGTTCCTCACAGATGCAGCATCACTAAGGGAACACGACCTGGAGGTGACTGAGAGTGTGGTAGAAGGTGACAACGTGACCCTCACGTGTCGAGTGAGTGTGATGGTGTCGCTGTCTGGCCTCGTGTGGACCTCAGTTGCGCGCCAGGAAGGTACGTCATGTGGTGGGATTTTTTGTTTTTTGTTTTTAACCCTTTCGTGAATTGGTGGAGGTCTAATATATGTGGTGAATGTATAGCATGTATTATTATTTATCATGCAGTTTAGACATGCAGTTCCTATTTTCTTCGGGAGATTTACCTCCCATTTTCTTCGGGAGATTTACCTCCCATTTTCTGTCCTCCCATGTTCTGTTTCTGTCAGAATAATTTTCGTTGCATAATAACTGAGTCATTTCTATTTTGTGAGTATATACATATCTTTTTTTCAGATCCAACTATTCCTAAACTGTCTAACATGATTTATATTTGATTTGTAAGTTTATTTCCCGTTTTGCTCCCATGCTCGCTTCCCAGTTTTCATACAATCTCAATTTCCTTTTAAATACACATACTCAATTCTTATTTAACCTTGCAGATTTACCTCGCTTTACACTGGAGACATCTCCCGTCATGCAGGGTGCAGTCGCACCTCCACAGATCTCCAGTATCAGCTCTTGATACTGGTAATGGCTCAAAAGGGCCACCACTTACGGGCTATTCATGCCCGTGCCACCTTTTGGGTGGCTTAATCTTCATCAATCAATCACCTCGCTTTACCTTGTGTGTTCCACAGAGTATGAGACGAATTACAGCCGTGTGAGTGTAGCTGATCTGGGCTCTGTAGCAGTCGATGACGAAGGAGAATACGTGTGCAGAAGCGTCGCCAGGGGTGACTCAAGTAGTTCCAAGGTGGTCAAGACTGTTCACCTCCAAGTTCGACGTTAGTACTCCGTCTTCTCATCTCATACGTCGCATTTGTTTACCGAGTCGAACATTCCGTTAAACATGTGATGATGATGATGATGTTCGAATTAAAGTATTGTATTGTATATATGTTGTGTTGATGTTTTCTAGACATGGGCCTCGGTGGGTTAGGTGGGTTGCCTGGGGTTTGTGCGTTTCTAGTTAGGGAAAACAGTTGCATTTTTACGGAGTGACAGAGAGAAGGGTCTGGTTTGTGTAAGTGTTGCTAGGAGCTTGTGTGACGGGTTGTGTTAGGGCGTGTAAATTGTCCTTTTGCGGTTGCAATATTTTATCAATTAAGAAACTTGTTTACAATGTCATTATAGTTTGTAATGTATTTATATATTTTTCTGTGACGCCCAAGAAACCTCATCTCTTAGAGTCAGCTGGTGTTGATCCTCGCTGACCGCTCATGGCACGATGTCCAAAAAGAAGGCCATCTTACCTAACAGATGTATGCGTTAAGATGCTTGATATCGTTAAGACGGCTTTAAGACGCTAAGCTAAAACATGTACACATGAGCCATGCATCCATCACCTAGATTGACCTTGACCTCCCCTTGACCCTGACAGGAATGGAGGCCCCGACCTGGGCTACTAATGTCAGCCTGAACACCACCTACGACCTCCACAAGAGAGAGACGCTGGTGCTAGACTGTTCAGCTGACGGCGTGCCTTCCCCAACCTTCCACTGGACCAAGGTACATGTCTGCAAACCTTCACCCTTTGTTATATTATGTAGCCTCTGAACCCGTTTGGCTGAAGAATTTATAGGACTGAAAGTCATATTGTTGGACCTACTTATGAGGTTCGAGTACTGATATCCTTCTTTTGTTTCGAATGAAGTTGTCATATTGATACATTTATAAAAGCGAGTGCAGTGTTGTCGTTTCTGATGCCCCTGACGTAATGGCGAATATTATATTAATTTAGGTTTCTGAGTATTATTATAAGACAGGTATTTTATATATAAATTATTTTCAAATATTTTTTAGAAGCCTTTGGATATATTCGCCGCCTTTGAATATCCTTCTTCTAACCTACTTTCATCCTTCCACTTCCTCCTCCTCCTCTACTCTATCTTATCTCATCCAACCGTGAAGGGCTGACACATTCACAGGACGGGCGGGAAGTGACGCCTTCGGAGACCGAGGACGTCGTCCTGGAGGGCGCAGGAAGGGTGCTGAAGGTGCAGAAAGCGATGCCGAAGGATGCAGGACGTTACGAGTGCTTGGTGGAGAATCGGGCGGGAAAGCTTCTGGCCTGGTTCCTGGCCGCCTACGTCCCTTCAACCCAAGTGCACCACTGTGAGTGATGGGTGGTGGATGCCCCTGAGAGTGATGGGTGCCCCTGAGAGTGATGGGTGCCCCTGAGAATGGTTGGTGGGTGCCCCTGAAGGCCGTGGGTATGGGCTGACAGTGCCTTTCAGGCTGGACTCCAGATTCAATCCGTTTACCACAGTACTTTTCCCGCCGAATGATGACCTGAAAATGCGCGCAAAACTTTGCGTTTTACGAGAAAATCATTGTTGCAGGACGTGGATCGAACCAGCGTCCTGGGTACTCCCAGACGTGCGCCTTACCCCTGTACCACGACACGATAGAGATTAGACAACCTGTGGTTTTCCACAGCAAGTCCAGAGGCCCTGAGATGAAGCCAGTCCAAGTTTGTACTTATAACCACCATTACTTTTACTGTTTAGTGCCTATTTAGTGCTCCCTACTCGACTACCTGTTTAGTGCTCCCTTGAGGTTGAAGGAGAAACTTTAACTGGCTTCAGCTCCGGGCCTCCAGACTTCCTGTGAATTCCTTGGAATCCCAAGTTGTATTATCTTTACCATGTCTTGGTCTAGGGGTAAGGTGCGCTGCTGGGCGTACCAAGATCACTAGTTCGAATCTCCGCATTGTTCCAATTGATTTTATTATTTTAATTATTATTAATATTTTGTTGCTGAAATTGTTCTAGTTATTTACTTAGAAATTAAAATGACTTTATAAAATTATATTTAATACAAATTATATGCTAAGCGTCTAGGCGCAAATATCACCTGTATTTTTTTTGACTAACAAAGCTTATTCTGCTTAGAAGAGCTTATTCAGCAACTAACAAATATTCTCTCATCTTTTCTGCCCTGCCACTCTACTTTGACCTCGTGCTGCAATCTGCCCGCCCTGGCCGCCCTGGCTGGCCTACCCGCCCTGGCCGGCCTACCCGCCCTGGCCGTTCTGGTCGCCCTGGCCGCCCTGCCCGCTCTGGCCGCCCTGCTCGCCCTGGCTGGCCTACCCGCCCTGGCCGTTCTGGTCGCCCTGGCCGCTCTGGCCGCCCTGGCCGCCCTGCTCGCCCTGGCTGGCCTACCCGCCCTGGCCGTTCTGGTCGCCCTGGCCGCTCTGGCCGCCCTGCTCGCCCTGGCCGCCCTGCCCGCCCTGGTCGCCATGCTCGCCCTGGCCGCCCTGGCCGCCCTGCCTTGACTCTCGCGGCCGACAGCGTCCCTCTGGGCCGCTGTGGGGGTGCTGGTGCCGCTGCTCGTGGTCGTCACCTTCCTCTACATTTCCCGCTACTTCTGGAACCTGGTGAGACGCGCCCCCAGTCCAGCTGATGGTCTCTATGCAATACCTTCAACCGTCATAGCACCTCACTGTGCTATCAGTGCCAGGTGCTCCAACACCTTAGGTGAAGGCGACAGTCCTTCACCTGGGAGTTAGTGGGAGGCAGGAATCTGTGGTTCCTGGCTCCCACTAACTCTGACCTACTGTCCCTCCGGCAGGTGAGGTCCCGGCGGTACCTGCTGATGGCGCAGAAGGTGTGGGAGGAAGGCAACGTGGCCGCCCTCAACAGCAACCTCTGCCTTCACCACCAGGCCGACCTCCTCCCTTTTCAACCTAAGTTTGAGTTTTCCAGAGACAACATTACCTTCGGTGAGTCAAGTTGTCTTGGACATGATCATCTTAGCTTAGTGCTCTTGGTGGGACTACAGCAACTTTATTAAGTAATCTTGGCAGAAAAAATCCCCACTTTTCGATCGACCAATACATATTAGCAAATAGCCGAAACTTGAAGAGGAAAAAATAAATTCTTTAATGAGAGTAAAGAGTAAATGATGACGATTCTTTGTACAGTTGACCTCAGAATGTTCTTGAGCAACACCTGAAGCTTTGGGGAAGTGAAGCCTCAACTATACAGTCAGGAACTTTGAAATATATCAGTTTTGCAATTTTAGCGTAGTGAAGACTGGCCCACCAGAGCCATCACCATCACCATCACCATCCATCACCATCTCCATCCCCTCATCACCATCTCCATCCCCCCTCAAGAACCCTTCCCTCTCCAACAGACAAGCTTCTAGGGTGCGGTGCGTTCGGGCGTGTGTATCGAGCTGTGGCAGCGAACCTGTCGCCCGGTCAGCCCCCCACCACCGTCGCCGTCAAGATGGTCAAGTCCCGCCACGACAAGACCCAGCTGCAGGCCCTTCAGTCCGAACTGAAGATCCTCATGCATATCGGAAAGCACGTCAACATTGTCAACCTCGTCGCCGCCTGCAGCAAGAGCCTCTACAGTAAAGGTTAGACAGAGAGAGTGATAGAGACATTGCACGAATGTATATATAAAATATAAAAAGAGATATATCCATAAATACAAATCTGGGGCCAGATTCACGAAAGCACTTACGCAAGCACTTACGAACGTGTACATCTTTCCTCAATCTTTGACGGCTTTGGTTACATTTATTAAACAGTTTACAAGCATGAAAACTTCCCAATCAACTGTTGTTATTGTTATAAACAGCCTCCTGGTGCTTCGGAGCTCATTAACTGTTTAATAATTGGAAACAAAGCCACCAAAGATTGAGAAAAGATGTACAGGTTCGTAAGTGCTTGCGTAAGTGCTTTCGTGAATCTGGCCCCAGGGCTAAAGCCCATTGAGGAGGTATGCTATCTGTGGTCCGGTGATCTCCTGCAGGGGAGCTGATGATCCTGGTGGAGTACTGTAGACACGGCAACATCCTCGACTACTTGCGCCGACATCGAAGTCACTTTATTAACCAGGTGGACGATCTCTCTGGCTCCCTCCAGCCGTCCCTTGCGCTCCCGGCCTCCGTCGACTCCAGGTAAGGTGCTGGGGCCGCTGGAAACCTCGGCTAACAGCTGCAGAGGTAACAGTCTGAACCAGTTTCAACCTCGACAGTTAAATGAACTGATAGAGGCGATAGATAAATGTATTTACTAACTGATAGATATAGTGTATGCAACATTTGGTGCACTAATCCATCTTGCAACACCCCGATCTCCTACAGAAGCTCAAGCAACGAAGCTGTATACATTAGTGTGGACCGCGTGGCCTTCACTGTTCCCACCCCTGGCACTGTCTGTCTTGGCACTCTGGCCCACCAGTCGCAACAGGTAAGTCCCCCCCACCCCATTATATATTTAATAACTGTCGTGGTTTTCTATTATAGTATAATGAAACTTAATAGTTCCGACCATTCACCGATGTGTTTCTCTTGGTGGTGGCAGCCGCTACTGGATGTGTGTGGGTCGAGGGAGGTCACCGGACCACGACCTCAGGACAGCTCTCTCCTTCACTCAGATATGACCTGCGTTACTCTCAGTAAGTTGGACTTGTTGTGTTGTTGTTATAGATTCAGCTACTCGGAACAAGTTCCAAGTAGCACAGGCTATGGTGAGCCCGTAGTGGACTTACCTGGCACAGGAGCGGTGACGAGACAGTTGGACTTCTTTGTGCTCTGCTTTGTCGGGGTTGATATGTTGTAGGGGACTATCAAGGAAAAGCGCCAAGCCATTACGACTATATAGCACTTGGAGGGGGGTCAGGATAATGATTTGGGATGGGACGGGGGATAATATGAGCTACCACCTCTCACTCCCCTATTCAAACCCGTGTGTATATGTGCGTCAAGTTTGAATGGTTTCAAAGCTAACATACGTCAGAAAACTTTTGAACCCTGAAGGATTCAAACTCGGTCATCCAGGGCCTCCATGCCCCTTGGCATGTCCAGTACTATAACCACTCGGCCTAAGTGACTGTACAAAAGTCAGGCTGTACAAAAAAGAATGTACTGTGCATTCAAGCTGGACGCACAAATGTTACTCATGCGGCTCCAGCATGATGAAGTGATTTGATGAAATATCTGCGCCCCACAATGGTAACGAGAGCCGTCGGGTATTGGGTTAAGGGTCAGACGCCTTCAAATACTTTTGTACAGTCAGTTTGGCCTAGTGGTTATAGTACTGGACATGCCTAGTGGGCATGGAGGCCCTGGCTAACTAGATTCGAATCCTTCAAGGGTCAAAAGATTTCTGATGTGTATGTGTATATATATACATCATTACGATGTACTATAGAGAATTAAGAGACATATAATAATATCATGTTTTACTATACGTTGCCAATCTCATCAAAATCAAACAAACTTGGCTTCACACACAGAGATCACACTAACGTGATGCATCAAATGAACAAATCCACAAGGGCCGTGACGAGGATTCGAACCTGCGTCCGGGAGCATCCCAGACATAGCTCAGTCGATTAAGGCAGTGTCTGGGATGCTCCCGGACGCAGGTTCGAATCCTCGTCACGGCCCTTGTGGATTTGTTCATTTAAACTTGGCTTGTTCCCCGCGTCTCTGCCACTACAACTACTCCACGACCCCGCATCTACCACCACCACCACCACCACCACCACTACCACCTGCCGCAGTAAGCGACACTCACAACATGGAGATGCCCAGCCTTCCGACGCCGACGGAGGAGAGAGAGAAGCCCCTGTGCTCCAGAGACCTGCTGTGCTGGGCCTTCCAGATCGCCCGCGGCATGGACTACCTCTCCTACAGGAAGGTACGACAGTTCCTCGTCTCTTCCCTTCGTGGTGGCGTTGGGCTTGTTCTCTCCTGGAGAGCCATGTCAGTGGTCTGAATACACTTGTTTAGAACTGGTATTCGTGGTAGAAACCTTCAACCTCCTGTGACCTTGACAGGCCATGACCTTGCCTATCCAACTGGTGTGTGACCCTTTGCAGGTGCTGCACGGTGACCTGGCGGCCAGAAATGTCCTCTTGGCCGAAAACAACGTGGTGAAGATCAGTGATTTTGGCCTAGCCAAGAATATTTATAAGTATTCCAACTACAAGAAGAACAAGAATGTAAGTGTTAAGTGCTGTTGTAAGTGGTGTGTGTGTGTTGCTGTGCTTGATTGTTTCTCTAAAGTGGTAACTTAAGTGCTAAAGTGCTATATAAGCTCGCTGTTAGGTTTTCCCAATTAGTAATGTATTTGTATTTTGTCTACGAACGCATGCATGTACACTTACAACGCTTGTGGACATGTGTGGGTGTGTACACGCACACACACACGCACACACACACACACACTCACACACACACACACACACACACACACACACACACACACACACACACACACACACACACACACACACACACACACACACACACACACACACACACACAGTCGCCACTGCCCGTCAAGTGGATGTCAGTGGAAGCTCTCAGGGACGGCGTCTTCTCCACGCAGAGTGACGTGTGGGCCTTCGGCGTGGTGCTGTGGGAAATGTTCAGGTGGGTTCCGGTACTCTCCTAATCGGTGAGTCTGAGTGGAGGAGAACATGAGATCAGGTCGGCCCTAATGAGTTTGGGTGGAGGAGAACATGAGATCAGGTCGACCCTAATGAGTTTGGGTGGAGGAGAACATGAGATCAGGTCGGCCCTAATGAGTTTGGGTGGAGGAGAACATGAGATCAGGTCGACCCTAATGAGTTTGGGTGGAGGAGAACATGAGATCAGGTCGACCCTAATGAGTTTGGGTGGAGGGAAAGATGAGATCCTTAACTGACCACATTAAAGAAAGTTCTGAATGTTCACGTGACCTCTGAATTTGCTAGTTAATTTAGCTTGTTATGAACCCAGTACCCATGCTGGACACTACTGTTCTATCAGCTAAATAGGTTTATTTTGACATAGTTATATATATATTTTTGCATTTGTCAATCGTGCGTACGACGTCCATGGAGCGAGAGATGTCAATCAGTAAGGGTGTGCATCGCCTTCACTTGGGAAACTTGGAAAGAAACGTTAAGATTTTTTTCAGTAATAAATCATTTCGTTTCAAATACTGTATATGGTCTTTTCTTATACTATATTAGTCGTGGAGTTTTCTCTAAATTCACGGTCATTATTACAGTGTAGGACAGAGGAAATATATATATATATAATATAAAGGTCTTCTTTGCATGTTAGAATGATACATTTAATAACTAGTGTAGTATTCCCTTTCTCAGATCTCGAAAGTTCAGTAAAATGATCTTGGTGTACTGATGTTTTTAAAGTTTAAAGTTTTTTTTATCTCCAATCTAAGGATATAATCAACTCCTTTTTTGCCAGCATTGATATTTTCCAAATTGCTTCTGCATCATTCATTAATCCTTGTGTTTAGGGTCTATGTGTCTCCCAACAGCTTGGGCCAGAATCCTTTCCCTGGTGTGGACTTTAACGAGAGCTTTATTAAGGAGTTGGAAGAGGGCCACAGGATGGAACGACCCAAGTTCTCTACACGAGCCCTGTAAGTTCTATGTGTTCGTGCTCTAAGTTCATCGTGACAGTTTTCAATACGTTCTTCATGACAGCCCTCTATGATGTTCCTGACATTGTACTCGCCTAGTTGTGCTTGCTGGTGAAGCTGTGTCTTCACAGTGGATGACATGAAAATATGATGTGCTGTCACGGTTTAGAAACATGTCTTGAAATAATAATTCAGGGATAACTATGGCATGATCAATAGGCCAATTAATGTAAACCCATCAATCATGCTCATTAAAACATCTCAAGAAAGCTCTTCGTGGCAGGTCTTTTACAAAAAGTTTTCCATGACAACTTAAGGTTTTTTTGTTTACACAAGTGTTGATGAAAATATCTAAGTAGAAGTTGGTTTGTTTTGAAGACGACGTTTCAGCCTTACAGGTGTCTCGGTGTTAACCAATAAAGCTTAATCACAGCCCTGTGATTACACTGTTATCGGTCGTGTGAGGGTTTGTTCAAAGATTGTTGTGAGTTCATTGTGCGTATTCAACGATTGTTGAATGTTCATGTGTGTTCTGTTCAACGATTGCTGTAAGCCCTTGTGTGTTCAGTTCAGCGATTGTTGTAAGCCCTTGTGTGTTCAGTTCAGCGATTGCTGTAAGTCCTTGTGTGCTCAGTTCAGCGATTGTTGTAAGTCCTTGTGTGTTCAGTTCAGCGATTGTTGTAAGTCCTTGTGTGTTCAGTTCAGCGATTGCTGTAAGTCCTTGTGTGTTCAGTTCAGCGATTGTTGCATGTACGTGTGTTTTCATGATTCTCATTTCCTTTATACTGAATGTGAACAAAATACTAAAGCACGGCTATGTTTATATAGACTAATATCAATAATGATAATATTTATAATAATTTAAAACATTCGCTCACTACTGTGGCTAATTGTGGGGGAAATTCACATTTGTATTTTCTGAACACAGAACTAAGTGGCTTGTAAATAATAATAATAATGATAATTAATAATATTTATGTAGAAAAATTATTGTAACTATAAAAATATAGTTTTTTCTAGTAAGAGAAGCAGTAGTAATAATTTCATCATTTATTATAACTGTAGTTGTTAAAGAAGAAATAGAAATAGCAGTCGAAAAATAATATCACTTGGTAGTTGTAACTGAGAGTATTATCTACGCCATGCGATAGCTACGAGGTGATGACTGAGTGCTGGAGGCTGGACCCACAACTCCGCCCCTCCTTCACCCGCCTGGAGCAGGACCTCGGCCACATGCTCACCAAGGTGGACCTCCAGGTCTGTCTACCTCCCTCCTCACCCAGTCTTGTCCAATTTAGACATATAATAGGGTAGATAAATAGGCATGCAAACAACATGAGGCTAATCTATCAAAATGTCTGGCAGATTACACACTTTTGAGAAAATTCAACTAGAAACCGTGACATTCCTACTTTTTGAAATATTGATGTATATTAATGATTCTTCCATATAACTCTGTGTAACTTGGTGTCTATTATACTTTAGTATTTTGAGGAGCTGCAGCAGGGCTACGAGCAGGAGGCGGAGAAAGAGACGCAAGAGGCTGAAGGATCCTCCTATCTCAACATGGTGTGCGCTCCAGATTACTGCAACATGATTGACAAGGAGGAAGAAGACCCTCATCACCCTAAGGAAGGTTGTCAAGTTATCACCCAGAATCTAGCGACCACGACGACACCTGTGACAGTGGAAAGCTGTTTGGTGGCGGACAGTTCTTCTTTGACTTCTCAGTCGCCTCCCTCATTTCCACCCCAATATATTGCCGGTTCTTGCCATAATTCTGGCGATTTAACCCGGCTTAATCTTGTAACTAATCCCTTCACGAGGTTGGCAACTAATACTGACATGTTCACTGCAGAGTCTTCCGACGAATCCTCATCATATATCGACCGTAGCGCCCGGTCAAGACCACCATCGCAGGTGATGGCCGGCACTGACCCAGCCAGGTCGTCCACACTCCCCTCCATATTGTCACCCACCGCTTCTTCCATCAGTGGCATAATTTCTGACAATCTCTCAACACCTACCAACCCTTTTTCCTATGGGGTTTCTAACAGCGGTTTCACTGCGGGCTCCGGTACGTCAACAGGTACGCCAACGGGTACTCCAAAGGGGCTAGGCTACTCCCAACAGCACCATAATCCCCCGCCACTACCAAAGGTTATGGGTTACGTGCCTCTCGCCGCTGTCGATAGCCTCCTCGACAATGTTATTACATCCAGACCTCAGACGGAATGCTGGGCCGCCGAAGAGTCCTACTGAGAGCTCGCAGCTGTCTGAGTGACCTGGATATGGAGGTTGACCTTGAGGCAGTAAAGTGTGATCTGGAGGAGAGTGTCTGCATCAATAAGGGCGACTTTGGCTTCCTGGCGTAATTTTGTCTTTTCTTCTACTCATTGTGTTCAAGAAATACAATACAAGAAAATATTGCACACCTGCTCCTGGTAGTACACGATGATCATGTACGTTGGTGAAGAATGCTGAATATACACTAGTATACACCATGAATATACAAGGTAAACATACACTATTGGGGACAAGAATCCAGTAGATTTATTGAGGTATCTCTAAACCAGAGACTCTTGTTGACCGTTACAGACAGAGTCAAGCTGTCAGTGTCATAAAATTAATATTATGATTATTATTATTATATTGTAATCATTTAAGATAGGCTTTTACGAAGAAAAAATTAACAGCAATTAAGACGTATCCTTAAATACAGGTAACCGAAGAATATTAGATTTAATGGGGTTTTTGCAGGATGCAACACCAAACAGTTACCCCTACTCGAGAGTATCTAGTTAATGTTAGGTGAACAGGGGAATCAGGTGCATGGAACGTACATAACTACAAGTCTTGTTCTGTGCGGGAATCGCACCCGGGAACATATGCTTGTGAGCTTAGTTTGCTAATTACAAAAATGGCTTTCCAGTGGATCATATTGACTATAATATATCCACTATATGTTTTTGTGCGAATAAACATTATATTCTCAAATATTACGCGACAACACTTGATTACTGTAAACATAATAGTTACCCATACATTTATAGTTTTCTGTTTTAAATATTTTGTTTCGTTTTCTGTTGCAAGGTTATCATAGACTATTTTAATATTAAAATTGTATAATTTTTGAATTTATTCAATGATAAATTAAGCGCTTCTGAATCATTTTTCCTTATTAATACTTCATTCACAAATATCTGATCATCTTTGAGTATCTGTTAACATCTATTCTTTCTTAAACTGGTTTATAAGTTTAAATTACGTTTGATTTTTAAAATAATGAATTAGATTTTATAGTTGAATAAATTATGCTTAATTAATACTGAAAAAATTGTAAAACCAAAATCAATAATATCGTTCTCTATGAGATATATATCAGTGTTCATATTTTACGTAAAAAACCAATGCCAGAGAAATGCACCAAAGTTTTAAAAATAAATTTGCCCGTAAACATATATCACATACATATGTTTATTGATTCTATTTCTAGTCAAAACAACAAACATTTAGCGATAAAAAGTCCTGCTTCAGCTTTAATCTAACCTCGGGGATCTTCAAGAAGCAATCAAGACATATCTTGGCCTCGAGACATTCTCGGAGGACGACTGGGGCCAGCAGGGAGCCAATGAGAATCTTTCGCTACTGGTTTTCACCGCTGTGATAGGTCAGTATACCAGCCTCCCTGCCACACCCGTAGACCGCGTGGGTCTACCCAGTGGTGCCAGATTGGGCTACAAATAGCGAATTGGGCTACTTTTGAGAGCCCCGCGCTCCCAAATTTTTAATTTCGCTACTTGCTACTTTTTGGGCTAATTTAAAAGCAAGATGTGCTAATTTGGGCTATTAATGTTAAGAATGTACGATTGCGAGTTACATGAAAATAACTAAGCTATAAATAATTGTAAATATTAATTAATACTAAATAATATTATTTAATAAATTAGTCCCAATTCAATGCAGAGTTTTCTTCCAAGCACAGAAACTTGTAAATATAAATACAAGACAATAGATAGATCGATAAATAAATAGACAACTTTCAAATATTGCACCAAGTAATGGCGAGAGGAAAAAAACTAGGCAGTATACATTACATTTGAAATTAATAATGGATGAATGGTAATAAATTGGTGTATGTATACCAGACAAAGTCCATTTAATTTGCAGAATTTAGAGATTTTGTGTAAAAACTTTTATATATCATAGTATTAATTATAACAGTAATCGAAAAAAGGTTGTATATACAAGAGATGAAACAGCGAGCCATGAGCTAGAGCGATGTGCTGAGTCCATAAGGAGGCCGAGCTTCCAGAAATACCTTCCTGTGATTGGCTGCTGCGGGGAATACTAACACTCTTTTATGAATAAAATTTAAACTAAGAAATAGGTCCTTGTGCACAACAACAAGGTTGTTGTGAAAAAGAACAACAATTTCTGTTTTGCACCTGACAGAAATCTCCATCTAACTGAATAATTTACTGGAATAAGAGGGCAGAGCAGCGTATCATTATTTGTGTCAAGGCAACCCCCAATAATAACGTCCCAAGTTAGGTAGCCAGCCCATGTTTCTGTAACACTCGTTATATCCTGTAGTATTTAATTATCACTATATTAATACTTTTAAACACTTAACATTTCACTTTTTAGGTAGATTAAAGTTGAAGCAGAATGTCATAAGCAAGGATTGTGTGCTGAATAAAGATGATTTATTAAGTGGATGGAGCCTTTAGCTGATCCCTTCCTGTGATTGGCTGTTGTGTGAATGTCAACAAAGAATATCTACCAATGATATGCCATTTATTATGCATCCCATACCATCTGTGGGCGGAGCTTGGAACCTCATACCCGAGCACAACAACCCGCCTTATGGGTTGCTGTTTGGCTATTTATAGTGCGTTGGAAAAAAACTAGATGGCGTTAGTTGTATTTTGTGGGGTAATTTGTTATAAGTGTAATTTGATGTCAACAGATGGCGTAAGCTGTATCTTATGGCTACTATTGACCAGCCAGTTGATAGTGTTCTTGTCTGCCGACAGATGGCATCAGCTGTGTTATTATTATTTTAATAATATTATTACATTAATAATAATGTATTATTATTACTTTAAACACTGATCTATACGTCTGGTAGCTTAAGGTTTTATACCGTGCTGGTATTAGGTAACTAGAATTCTGCAATTACTTTTTTTATCTACTGTTGAAGATATGTAAGACAAATGTAAGGTTTTGAGGCTAAGTAACGAAGATAGTTACAAGATACGAGCCAAATGGTGTTGAAATTGCAAAAGGGATTATGATAAGAACGTAAGCCAAAAAATCAATGTATAAATGTTCGCAAATATGAGACTGGGATTTATTTCTCGAAAAGTTAGCAATAAAATACGCTTTCTAATTCTTTATTTTTAAAATTAAGACCAGGGATTCTGTCTAACGAAGCTGCAAGCTAAAACACCGTTATCCTATAATGTTCATCTGTAGCTTGACCCTAAATACTCGTTTATTAAACGAATTTATTGTTAGAGTTCATTAGGAATCAACTTTTTTGAAGGCAGAGTTTCCAACAAATACCTTCCTGTGATTGGCTGTTGCGGGGAATGCCAACGCTTATATGAATAAAATGCAAAATAAGAAATGCGTCATTTTGCTCAATAACCTTGTTGTTGTTGTACAAAAGAACAACAATTTCTGTCTTATACAAGACAGAAATTTCCATCTAACTGAATAATGTAGACCAATATTAAGAGGGCGGAGGCATTGTATCGCCGATATTATTTGCGTGAGGCAACTCCCAATAATAACGTCCCAAGTTAGGTAGCCAGCCCATGTTTCTGTAACACTCGTTACATCCTGCAGTATTTAATTATCACTATATTAATACTTTTAAATACTTAACATTTCACTTTTTACGTAGATTAAAGTTGAAACAGAATGTCAAAGGCAAGGATTGTGTGCTGAATAAAGATGATTTATTAAGTGGATGGAGCCTTTAGCTGATCCCTTCCTGTGATTGGCTGTTGTGTGAATGTCAACAAAGAATACCTACCAATGATATGCCATTTATTATGCACCCCATACCATCTGTGGGCGGAGCTTGGAACCTCCTACCCGAGCACAACAACCCGCCTTATGGGTTGCTGTTTGGCTATTTGTAGTGCGTTGGAAAAAAAAGAGATGGCGCTAGTTGTATTTTGCAGGATAATTTGTTATAAGTGTAATTTGATGTCAACAGATGGCGTAAGCTGTATCTTATGGCCACTGTTGACTAGCAAGTTGATAGTGTTCTCTTCTGCCGACAGATGGCATCAGCTGTTATTATTACTTCCGAATTCCCTTTTGAACACTGATCTACAAATCCCTTGGCTTATGATAAGGTTTTATACCATTTATGATAAGTATTAGATAACTGGAGTTACGCAATTACTTTTATTTATCAACTGTTGAGGATATCATCATATAACGTCTGGTTAGGACGTACTGCTCTCGATTGATGAAGATTAAGCCAGCCAAGAGGTGGCACGGGCATGAATAGCCCGTAAATACTGCTCTCGTAATATTATTCAGGGGGGTGGGGGAATTATCAAGTGAAAGCGCCAAGCCATTACGACTATATAGCACTCAGAAGGGATCAGGATACGGATTTGGGATGGAACGGGGGGAAAGGAATGGTGCCCAACCTCTTGGGTGGTCGGGGATTGAACACGGACCTGTAGGAAATGAGACCGTCGCTCTACCGTCCAGCCCAAGTGGTTAAGCATAATATTAAAACAACAATTTATGCATATAATAACAACATTTCACACTAAAAATACTTGGATATATTGAAATTTGATAGTGAATTCCAATCTAGGAATCTCCTATGACTAAACTGTACTTTTTAATATTTTTATGTACTTACTACTTATTATTAAATGATTAAGTACTTACTATAATAATTAAATAAATTATTTTATTTAATATTTAAATTAAATGATAAAATAATAGGTAATAATAAATCATTGTGTAGGGGGAACAGGCAGCCAGTGTGTATATATACATGTTAGGCTTACACCAAGGTCCCACAAAGGTGCCACAAAGGTGCCACAAAGGTGCCAAATTAAAGACTGGGTGCTGCCGGGGCGGGCCCAAGGGCTGCTGGCGGCCCTGGCCAGGCTGAACTTCCGCGCCCTTATAATCACCATTGTTTAATAATCTTCACAGGGAGAAACAACTGTAAATATAGGAATAGTTTATTACAACATACACGGTAAAGAAAACAGCTCGGACACTAAGGAAATAAAGCTGCCGATAAAACATTAAAGTCCACTTCAAGTTCAAGTATGTTTATTGAGACAATAAAAAAAAATACATCACAAAGGAATAGAGTAGCTTAGGCTATTTCTACCCCCCCCCCTCTACTTCAAGTCTCTCAAGGGGCTCATATATGTGTGTGTATGTGCAGAAATAATATTAATAAAACAATTAACATTGTGTAGTGTACTCTATATATCAAAATATATTACTTTGAAACCCATATCATTCACTAAAAAAGATTGGGCTACTCTAATTACAAATTCGCTACATTTAGACCGTCAGCTTGCTACTTTCAGCAATTTAGATCTGGCAACCGTGGGTCTACCTCAGACTAGGTGCTGGCTCCAGGTGAACGCTGCTCCGTCTTCCTCTGGATCTTACACCTTGACCGTGAACAGTAAGATCAAGGCGATATTTACATCATAGCCGACGCCAACGAGAGATTATTACGTGCAATCCAGTCCAGACGGGTATACAAAGTACAGGTATGTTCAAATTCAAATTTAAATTTCTCTTCAAAAGAGTATGTGTGTGTGTACAAATAAGTTAAGAGTCCCGTGAGTTACAGTCCCCGTGGTGACGCTCGCCTGGAGTTTCGCGAGCACTTTATCTTAGGTTCATATCCTGGCCGGGGAGGATTGACTGGGCACCAATCCTTAATTGTAGCCTCTGTTTATCCAACAGTAAAATGGGTATACCTGGTTGTTAAACGATTAGGCGGGGACGTATTTGATATATCAAATGAACAAATCCACAATTGGATTGGGGGCCGGTGGCTGAGCAAACAGCACGCTGGACACGTGATCCTATAGTCCCGGGTTCGATCCCGGACGCCGGGGAGAAACAATGGGCAGAGTTTCTTTCACCCTAATGCCTCTGTTACTTAGCAGTAAATAGGTACCTGGGAGTTAGTCAACTGTCACGGGCTGCTTCGTGTGGTGTGGAAAAAAATAGTAGTTAGTAACAGTTGAGTGGCTGCCTCGGGATCCTCGTGAGGGCAGTAGTACTCTAAGGTTGCATTTTTTTTTTTAACCATGGTACAGTTGACTAGAGCGCGCATAGGTTCGATCCCACATCATGGCCCCTATTGTGGATTTGTTCATTAGCCCGTAATAGTGTTATTGTTCTCGCCCAGCTGTTATAGGTGATCAATAATCACCCGAGTTTCCGTGTGAACTTACTGATGGTGTTATTAAATGGTTTTGTTTGTTAACTATCATGTTAACCACGCTGTTAAGACTTGCACTCGTTATTAGCCACGCTGTTAAGACTTGCACTCGTTATTAGTCACGCTGTTAAGACTTGCACTCGTTATTAGCCACGCTGTTAAGACTTGCACTCGTTATTAGCCACGCTGTTAAGACTTGCACTCGTTATTAGCCACGCTGTTAAGACTTGCACTCTTATTAGTCACGCTGTTAAGACTTGCACTCGTTATTAGTCACGCTGTTAAGACTTGCACTCGTTATTAGCCACGCTGTTAAGACTTGCACTCGTTATTAGTCACGCTGTTAAGACTTGCACTCGTTATTAGCCACACTGTTAAGACTTGCACTCGTTATTAGTCACGCTGTTAAGACTTGCACTCTTATTAGTCACGCTGTTAAGACTTGCACTCGTTATTAGCCACACTGTTAAGACTTGCACTCGTTATTAGTCACGCTGTTAAGACTTGCACTCGTTATTAGCCACGCTGTTAAGACTTGCACTCGTTATTAGTCACGCTGTTAAGACTTGCACTCGTTATTAGCCACACTGTTAAGACTTGCACTCGTTATTAGTCACGCTGTTAAGACTTGCACTCGTTATTAGTCACGCTGTTAAGACTTGCACTCGTTATTAGCCACGCTGTTAAGACTTGCACTCGTTATTAGCCACACTGTTAAGACTTGCACTCGTTATTAGTCACGCTGTTAAGACTTGCACTCTTATTAGTCACGCTGTTAAGACTTGCACTCGTTATTAGCCACACTGTTAAGACTTGCACTCGTTATTAGTCACGCTGTTAAGACTTGCACTCTTATTAGTCACGCTGTTAAGACTTGCACTCGTTATTAGCCACACTGTTAAGACTTGCACTCGTTATTAGCCACGCTGTTAAGACTTGCACTCGTTATTAGTCCCGCTGTTAAGACTTGCACTCGTTATTAGCCACGCTGTTAAGACTTGCACTCGTTATTAGTCACGCTGTTAAGACTTGCACTCGTTATTAGCCACACTGTTAAGACTTGCACTCGTTATTAGTCACGCTGTTAAGACTTGCACTCTTATTAGTCACGCTGTTAAGACTTGCACTCGTTATTAGCCACACTGTTAAGACTTGCACTCGTTATTAGTCACGCTGTTAATACTTGCACTCGTTATTAGCCACGCTGTTAAGACTTGCACTCGTTATTAGTCACGCTGTTAAGACTTGCACTCGTTATTAGCCACACTGTTAAGACTTGTACTCGTTATTAGCCACGCTGTTAAGACTTGCACTCTTATTAGTCACGCTGTTAAGACTTGCACTCGTTATTAGCCACGCTGTTAAGACTTGCACTCGTTATTAGCCACACTGTTAAGACTTGTACTCGTTATTAGTCACGCTGTTAAGACTTGCACTCTTATTAGTCACGCTGTTAAGACTTGCACTCGTTATTAGCCACACTGTTAAGACTTGCACTCGTTATTAGCCACGCTGTTAAGACTTGCACTCTTATTAGTCACGCTGTTAAGACTTGCACTCGTTATTAGCCACGCTGTTAAGACTTGCACTCGTTATTAGTCACGCTGTTAAGACTTGCACTCTTATTAGTCACGCTGTTAAGACTTGCACTCGTTATTAGTCACGCTGTTAAGACTTGCACTCGTTATTAGCCAAACTGTTAAGACTTGCACTCTTATTAGTCACGCTGTTAAGACTTGCACTCGTTATTAGCCACGCTGTTAAGACTTGCACTCTTATTAGTCACGCTGTTAAGACTTGCACTCGTTATTAGTCACGCTGTTAAGACTTGCACTCTTATTAGTCACGCTGTTAAGACTTGCACTCGTTATTAGCCACACTGTTAAGACTTGCACTCGTTATTAGCCACACTGTTAAGACTTGCACTCGTTATTAGTCACGCTGTTAAGACTTGCACTCGTTATTAGCCACACTATTAAGACTTGCACTCGTTATTAGTCACACTGTTAAGACTTGCACTCGTTATTAGTCACGCTGTTAAGACTTGCACTCGTTATTAGCCACACTATTAAGACTTGCACTCGTTATTAGTCACTGTTAAGACTTGCACTCGTTATTAGCCACACTATTAAGACTTGCACTCGTTATTAGTCACTGTTAAGACTTGCACTCGTTATTAGCCACACTGTTAAGACTTGTACTCGTTATTAGTCACACTGTTAAGACTTGCACTCTTATTAGTCACGCTGTTAAGACTTGCACTCTTATTAGCCACGCTGTTAAGACTTGCACTCGTTATTAGCAACGCTGTTAAGACTTGCACTCCTTTCTGTGTTATTCTGGATTAAACATTAAATTTTGCTTTATTTTTGTTTAATCTACAATTTAATATTTGTTGTTTCTACAGTTTTTGTCTTATATATAATGTTTAATATTAATGACTTGGTAAATATTTGAAGCCGTCTTCACTCTCTATTCTGCTTGTATGATGACACAACCTTCACCACCTTCTCCAGCCATACACTCCACATATGTGTATATGTACATATGGACACCGTCCATATATACTCACCTCTACTAGGTGAGTACATATGGCGCCCGAATGAGTTCACACACTCTGCCTTTGGTCAGGGAAGGGAAGGAAGGGAACTATCAAGAGAAGCACCAAGCCATTAATTAAGACTATATAGCACTTGGGATGGATCAGGATAAGGATTTGGGGTGGGACGGAGCGAGGGAAAGAAATGGTGCCCAACCACCACTTGTGGACGGTCGGGGGATTAAACGCCGACCTGCATGATGCGAGACAGTCGCTCTACCGTCCAGCCCAAGTGGTTGGGCTTTGGTCAGGGAGCTGTGTGCATCGCTGCATGTGACCTTCGGTAAATTCCTCTGTGAATTAAGTGACATCGATCGCCTTGTGACTGGGTTAGCGTACTTCTTCTCATTTAGTATTGTTTACCCGCATTATACCTCGGATATCTTACGACCTGGAAGAGATCGTAACTATAAATGTTGTACATTTATAGTTACGACCTGACTCTGGTCGTAACCAGTCAGGTCGTTTTGACCTGACTCGCTAGTATAGTGGCTTTATTCAATATGCAACTCCCTTGTACCTTCAAATATGCCTTTGTGTTTTATCATGTATGCATATTTTAAGAATAAAATATTCTGCAGCGCTATAATAGCCATATTGGCTTAGCTGTAATAGCCATATTGGCTCGGCCGCTTTCTGTTGCTGATTATTTACTAATTTAGGTTAGCTGATGTGCTTATAGGTTTGTGAAGAGCGGGAGGGTTATTGGGGCCACCACCACAAGAGTTCTCTCTATTATATGCTGGGGTTAAAGGTTCTCTCTATTATATGCTGGGGTTAAAGGTTCTCTCTATTATATGCTGGGGTTAAAGGTTCTCTCTATTATATGCTGGTCTCCATTCGTGCTGGCGAGAGAGTTCTAGACTATAGCATCAACTCCGTGTGTTGACGTGTAATGGGTGTGTTACGAACTCTCGTACCCACGTACCCACCGTACCCACCGTACCCATGGTGGGTGGTGACGGGAGACTCATCATCGTACAATGGGCACTAGGAACTAGCCCACGGGTGTTCCTTGATTAAAGTCGTTGGCATTTCTGTTGCACTCGATACAATTAATTTTAATTTACCTATAAGGCACTCTAGCCTGGAGAAGTCCTGGTCGGGGAACGGGCCGCGGGGGCCTTGAACCCCGGAACCTCCGCAAGGTAACCTCAAAGTAACCTCAAGGTATCTTCAAGGTAACCTCAAGGTATCTTCAAGGTAACTTCAAGGTAACTTCAAGGTAACCTCAAGGTAACTTCAAGGTAACCTCAAGGTATCTTCAAAGTAACTTCAAGGTAACTTCAAGGTAACCTCAAGGTAACTTCAAGGTAACCTCAAGTAACCTCAAGGTATCTTCAAGGTAACCTCAAGGTATCTTCAAGGTAACTTAAAGGTAACCTCAAGGTATCTTCAAGGTAACCTCAAGGTATCTTCAAGGTAACTTAAAGGTAACCTCAAGGTAACTTAAAGGTAACTTCAAGGTATCTTCAAGGTAACTTCAAGGTAACCTCAAGGTATCTTCAAGGTAACTTCAAGGTAACCTCAAGGTATCTTCAAGGTAACTTCAAGGTAACCGTAAGGTGGCCATCGATTGGGAATCGGTGAAAGGTAATAATAGTTACATACTGAGCTTAGGAAGTTCTCGTCTACAATGTTAAAATTAGTAACTATGTATTGTTAAGACAACTGTTGTTTATAAATATCTGTTGTATGATTGCCAATTTTGTTCAAATCGTTCAACAATTCAAAAACGTAATCTTTTCTCATTTAATTTTAAGTATTAATTTCAAGTATTACCCCATAACACATGTTTATTTTCTTATAAACTTTTTTTTTTACGTTCTGTCCAGCCTAAAAGCTTAATATATTGTTTGCTAAATTTCTCGAACAATTTATATATGTTAGCTTGTCTAGTATTGCCTACATCATCTAACCTCAAAACAACCTAACTGAATTATTATAAAATGTTATGCCAGAATCGCTTTGTGTATTAGGAAAAATATTAAATATACGTCCGTTGTGGCAAATATTAAACCAAAGCTTCTTTTTGTATATTTTTTATGAAAATTATTATTATTATTATCAAGGGCAGACCTGACGAGGCTCCTGGAGGAGGTGAGCTTCATGCATAGCTTCCCGGCGGCTTGGCGCCTTCTTTTGATAATTTCTTGCTTGAGTGGTGCGTCTTTGGGCCAGACTCTAGCTTCTTATCATTACATATCACTTTCAAGTAATTCTGAGGTCATTCTTACGTCCAAAGTGCTGTATCAGTGTAATTAATCAATCCTGCTATGCTATTTCTAAGTAGTTATTTCTTATTATTTGTTAATTTAATTATTATACTAAGATAGTTTTAGTGCAGAGTTAGTTCCAGCTTGTCTTGAGCGCCACCTCTTAAGGGCGTTTGTTGGTAGCGACGAAATGACTGGTCTTCCCCCTGGCGGGTGGGTTCGACCCCTGGGAGTGGAGGAAACGCTGGTGGCTGCCTATAACACAGCTGGCAACATGACCATCGCACACGCACTCTGGCTCACCTCCACCATTCCCCTCACGCACTCCAACCTCTCCAACGCACTCTGGGCTCTCTACAGGTAAAGTATTATTATTCTGAATGCTTCTTTACACTCTAGAAAGTGCTGTGATAGCCATGCTCGAGGTTTCTAATGTTCCAGAAGTAAATAAAGGAAATATCCACCTGTACCCAGGGCAGTGCCAAGCCTTCGCCTATGCGTGAGGACCAATCCGGACACCAAAAGTCTTTGGTTTCACCACGCGGAGGCCGCCTCCAGGGGCACGCAGGACCTACAGGAGGTGCGGGGACAGAGGTTCACCAGCGCGTACCACCAGGTATTGCACAAAGTGTACCCACTCCATCGTGGCCCCCTCTGGTGCCTCCGCTACCTCAACCTCCAGCACAACACTGACGACTCCTACCAGGACCCAGACGAAGACAACCCCGAGGACTATTGCTCCTGCAGTGCTCAGGACGAGGCTAACAGTAAGTGCCTTGAAACCCAGTGCCACACAGGCCCCAGTACCGAGACGATAAGTGATGAACACTCTGCAACTTGCAAACAAACTGTTAAAAACTGCGAGCAAGTTGAGTGGGTTTGTACAGACGGCAATGATGCAGCTTCTGGAGGCCTTCCTTCAACTGTTCCTAGCGGGCAAACTTCAACATTCGGCGATGGCGTTTCTTTGGGACACAAACAGCCAGGTGCTGACCTCGGGAGAGACAGTGGCCGACAGGGGACGAACAAGTATATTCTCATCTTCGGCTTCAGTCACGTCATCACTGATGGGGTGTCCAACATGCGAATTACTCACCACTTTCTGGACCTCCTCAACCAGGTACGCCAATGGTATTCATGGTGGTTATTAATTTTTCTTTATGCTGTTGTTATTCAAATTTTGTCGGTAGTATTGTGATTAATTGTGATTTATTTCCATGCAATTTTTTATTTGTTTTGCAATAAGCTTACATCGGTTTGTTTATGCGAACGCAGTACGCCAGGCTGCAAAAATCCGAGTCGATTGACAAACCGGCGAGTGTGCAATAAAAGATAGGGATAGAGTATAATATCGGCAGGAGCTGCGCAGCGCTGCCGGGGGAGAGGACGTGACGAGAGGGCAGGAAGAAGTGGAAGAGGTCGGGGTGTTTACCTCGCCAGTGGCCGAGGAACAAGCCTTAGAAAGGAAGGAGAGAGACTTGGTGTTTGCTGCCGGTGATGGGCCCAACGCCTCCCCTGCTATCTACATGGCACTCTACCCTCCACACACTCGAGGTAGCTGACCCCCTTCCCACCTACATGGCACTCTCCTCCACCCACCCCCCCACCCCCCACATACAGGCTTACACACATATGTAGCAAAACAGATATTGTCTTTACCTGTTACATATATGTAGAAGTGAAATACTTGACGTTTAATTTGGTGAAATTTTGTGACACTGATCAGTCATTTTCAAGATATTTGAGATGTTTTGATTGACAGCTTATTTCCAAAATGAATTTTATCATTTTACACTTTCCGGGTGACCTTGCACCGTGTTCGCCAGACGGCGCAGGGGCAGCGACGCAGACGGTGTTCCTGCCGGGGCTGACGGTGGGACAGACGTCGGCCCTACGGCAGCAGTGTCGCGCCCACGGCGTCACCGTCCACGCCGCCTTCACCGCCGCCGCTGCCTTGGCCATGCTGCGCCTCCTGGCCGACGCCTCTAAGGTACCGTGAACCACACACACGCCCCGTTTCAGTGAAAAATATTTGCCACCAAATCTTAGGGATTCCCGAGTCTCAGGTAAACAGGTAATTCCGTTAACAGGAGTCTTTCCATCGCCCTAGGACTCGAGGCAGCCACCGCAGGAGCTTCTACAGTCCCTGATGACGTTCCACGACGTCAATTTGCGGCGGTACTGGCAGCAGCAACCCGCCAAGGACGTAATGGGTCTTCATGCCGCCATTTTCGAACTCATCATCCCGACACCTGTAGGTGGTGGTGGTTAGAGCAGGAGTGAATGTATGGCATTACTGCATGGATGTATATAACTTTTTTCTCGTTACTCTCTCTCTCTCTCTCTCTCTCTCTCTCTTTCTCTTTCTCTTCTCTCTCTATCTCTCTCTCTCTCTCTCTCTCTCTCTCTCTCTCTCTCTCTCTCTCTCTCTCTCTCTCTCTCTCTCTCTCTCTCTCTCTCTCTCTCTCTCTCTCTCTCTCTCTCTCTCTCTCTCTCTCTCTCTCTCTCTCTCTCTCTCTCTCTCTCTCTCTCTCTCTCTCTCTCTCTCTCTCTCTCTCTCTCTCTCTCTCTCTCTCTCTCTCTCTCTCTCTCTCTCTCTCTCTCTCTCTCTCTCTCTCTCTCTCTCTCTCTCTCTCTCTTTAAGCTGAAGGTACTTGTATCCTTTCAGGGTGAGAGGAAGTTTTGGAGCTATGCCAGCCAGCTGCACACACTGCTCAAGCAGGAGCTAAATAAGCAGACAGTCCTCCAGCAGGTGGTGTGTGACTCCACCTGTCAGGTTAGTAAGCGACGCCAGCATGTACACTACACGCTCAATTAACACGAAAAGTAATTAACATTTACATGACACTCGACCTCTGCTAATGAGAAGAAATGTGAGAATTTGACTATGCTATTAAAGGTAAGATATAAACAAAAAGAGTTAGTTTTGTTCATTAAATTCAGTGAAGATTCGAATTTCCCTTTTTGAGGGCTGGCTAACTTCAGCATTCATTATTCAGTAATATATCCCCGGTTAACACACCCGAGCTCCTTTTCCATGGAGCCAATCGCGTATTCAATCTACTGACCGTGCCTAAGGTCACACTTGAGTAATTTTGATCGTGTTTTGTTTCGACTAAGATGGTCTTCAACGACGAATCACTGGATGTTTTGCACTGGGCTTGTCAGATGGGCCTCAATGGTAATGTAACTATCCTTTCAATAACATTGTGTTGCGCTTGTGCTACTCTAATAAATTTGTAAATTTCTAATTAGATAAAATGACTTTGCCTCCATTTTCCAGGACAAATAATTCACGTGATAAATTAGCTGTGAATGAATGATTGACTTGTGGTACTAATTGTTCCCGATTCTTTGACCTCCAGACCCCGGAGCAGGTCATCAAGGAGGGTCAGAACCCCAGCCTCACACGCGCCTACTTTGGGATCACCAACTTGTGTGACCTGACCTTCCTCCTCCCCGGCACCGTTCATCTACCTCCTGCTCGTGTGACCCGCACGTCTCACTCCAAGGAGACGACGAGTACTCGAGTCCCGTCCCACGTCGATTGCTCCACTAGGCCGGGTGGCTTGGCTGTGGGTGACCCGGCTGCTGTGGGTGACCCGGCTGCTGTGGGTGACCCGGCTGCTGTGGGTGACCCGGCTGCTGTAGGTGACCCGGCTGCAGTACATCTAACTCGCGTACATCACTCCACCACCTGCCACTCCACTGGAGTGGTCTGCCAGCACCTCCTACACACCTTCCGGGGCAGACTCCTGTACAACCTCGACTACTTCACCGACAAGATGCGCCGTCAGGAGGCTATCAAGTATGCCCGCCTCACTCTCCATCTCCTCCTGCGTGCCCTCCGTGACTCGTCGTGATCTGGGGGAGGAGGGTTTGTGACACATGAAAGGTTTTTGTGACGTGATAAGGTTTTGAGTCTGGGACGCAGGGATTTTATGATCCAGGACAGAATTTGTGAACGTTGAGTGGAATTATTGTACTCGGGAGAGAATATTGTGATCTGGCGGACGATTTTTAAGTCATGAGAGTAGATTTTAGTCCCTAGAAAAATATTTTGGGTCCTGGAAGACGATATTGAACTTAGGAGACGGTTTTGATCCTAGCAGACTCTTTTGGACCATAAGAGAAGACTTGAGTCTTGGAAACATTACCTACGATATAAAAGTTCCCGAGTCCGACTAAATCTATGCAAATACGTCATGTAAATAAAGGGACCTCATATATATGAAGCTCCCTCATGCGGTAAAGATGTCGCAGAGTTTTGCTCTCACGTCACTTGTCCCTCGACAGAATCCTTGGAGGATTCGATTCCTTTGACGCCGCTCCTCTTGTAACACTTTTGCTCTCGTATTGGCATCATGTGTGACGTTTAGAGCAGACAGTGCTGCATAGTCTTCTTGGCTCGGCGCCTTCTCCTGATAATAAAGTAAGAAATTGTTCGCCCTATCCTTTATTCAAAAGAAAATCAGTAACTTCCTCACCATCGTATTCCATCCAGTTGTAATTCTCTGCAGGGCAATTTGTAGCGTTAAATGACATCTCTATGAGAAATTTTGAAATAATTCTCCCTGTACAATAGTATTTAAAAATAAAATTATTTAATTAATATAGATTCTTATGATTACTACAATTTTCTCTTGATAATTTTATATACAATAGTCATTACCTAAATTTAAGCAGCAGCCCCAGCTTATATGACAAGTATAAAACGTCTATTAGTGTAACATCCACAAGGAGCTTACAACAAGCCTGTGTTACTTTAAACTTCTGTTGCGAGTAGCTGAATCTTAAACAACAAAATTTACGTTTTTAAAGGGCTTTTCATGTCTGTGCCACCTCTTGGGTGGGTTAATGTTCATCAATCTTTTACTAGATTAAATACCTTCGTTTAAAATTGTACCTCAGTCAGCTTCCAAATCAAGTTCTCAACCTATCCCCCAGTCTTGTTAAACACTGAGTTTCGGGTACCACACTAAAGAATGGATATACATGATGCAGAAAGTATATATAAGCACTAGACCATCACTGACTGTACAAAAGTAATGGAAGTTGTGAGACTTTTACCCAACACCCGACATGTCAGTGGCCAGTGGGCACAGATAATTTTCATCAAATTAAATTCACTACACGAGGAAAACTCAACAAGCCACAATGAAGGACTGAGACCAGGAGATGCTTTTTCACCTACAGGGTTATTGACGCATGGAACCGCCTACCCGCCGAAGTCGTAACTCTCAAAACTGTGCTGAATTTCAAAATATTTCAGGAAAAGATCATCAAGGCAAATGGGGGACCTTCGACAAGCAGCCGACTTCCTGTCCTCGTCGAGGCCACTAGGGTTTGTGGCCCTCAGGTAAATCAGATAAATATCCATATATAAACATAAATAAAGTATATAAATTAATATATAGAGAATATATAATATACATATAGGCCTTCTACAATTTGTATGGCACATGCTTCCATATTATCCAAGAACTGGCGTATAAGGTTGAATAGCTTCAGTAGTCTTGGCTGCGTACGCCCAAGGAGGGCCTCGGGCGGCATGCCAGGGCGTCCTGAACCAGTGCCAGGAGCAAGGCACGAATTACTAGAAATACACAACTGACGTGGCCTGTTACACCAACGTGTAAAAATGTCCACTCGCATGCGAAGTTAGCGAGCCTTACGCCGGTGACATTCCTGTGGTTTATGGCTAAAAACCGGAGAGAGAGAGAGAAAGAAAAAAAAAACCTCATTGACGCTCCAGTCAGCAATGTTTTACGGCTTCTCAAAGTGATGCCATTCTCCCGAATATGATTATTATTATTTGTTTCAGGAAGTCTGTACACAACATCCATTCACAATATGATTGGAACTTGTCGGGTGAATTGAGAGGATGAGGGAAAGAGGATGAATTAGAGCGTAGGGCCGTGGGAGAAGAGATGAGAACCAGCGAGCAAGTCCTCATCTCCCGCAGTTGTCAACATGTCTGACAAGTGAGCAACGCAGCTGATGCTTCTCCCATAAACACCCCAGTTTACTCCTCGCCCCAGGATGATCTGCTAGTTGACAGTGACGGGACTCGGTGCCGACAAGTCCCCCCAATCCTTCGGAGTGATAATAAGGGCCAATAATGGAAAGTTTAACGTTCACTGACAACGAAACGAAATATTACGGCGACCTGTTTACACACTTGGACAGCGAAGGGTCTGGGATTATACCTGTGAATCAAGTGCACGAGTTCCTGCGAGCCTCCAAGCTGTCCCAGGAGGTGCTCAGCCAGGTACGTGCTCAGCCAGCTAGGAGCTCAGCCAGGTAGGGGCTCAGCAAGGCAGGGGCTCAGCCCCGTCGCTGCCTGCTGGGCCACACACCAACACAAGCCTATAGGAACACATTCGTTTAGCACCAATTTACATGTTTCATCTTTACTGAGCCTGTGCACAGTATTAGGGGTATGATTGGCGAATTTAGATTGGTTTATGCAATTTCAATTTAAGTAGTAAAGCAAACATTGTGGGTGGTATTGCAGGGTGGAAAAATATCACTTAGGCCTGAAAAGTATCATAGGCACTTAAGCTTTCGAGGGATCCTACAATGGTTACTGTCAGATCATACAGAGTTGTTTTGTGCATAGTTCATTAGATGGTGGTTAGGTCAACACGGCTGTAGGTGTCCCTCCACACCAGAACTGGTGAGGAACCTGCAGAGACCCCCAAGAGTTCTCGATCATTAAGGACAGCATTACCATTTCCATCTCCAAAGTAGTTCCATGGCAGGCAGAAATAAAAATATATGTTTATACTGAAGGACACAAATTGGGTCTTGTTACAATTGGAATTGAGCAAGGAACTTTGTAATCATTATTGTTATGAGTATATATGTACCTGTGGTTCATGCTGTTATTCCTTGCCTGGTAACCCTTATGGATTATTGTATATGTCGAGAGGTGTATTGTGCATCTTGGTGCATGTGCACTGAGAGGTAACCTTAGTCCTGGACTATGTGCAGGACTTCAGGTATACCTGATGGCCAATAAACTTTTATGGTGGACTCAATAGCCCTATAGACATATGTGGGTGCTTAGTTTTTTTTTTATGCGTAGGGTGGGGTGGGGGGGATCCACTTATGTGGGGGAAATAATATTGTTAATGTTCAAAAATGCAAAACTTGTTAGACCTATAGCAGACATGTGGTCCTTGAGGTGGGCATCCTGACAGGTCTAGAGTCCAGTTTTCAACCATATTAGACACCGAATGTCCAACTATATCCTAAGTCAGGCATCTGACATCTATATTTTTAAAGTCATGGTTAAGATCTTATTTTTATTTGCAATGCAGTATGGAATTTTGTTTTGGTTTGGTGTATTTCCCAGGAGTTATAGAGAGTATTTTCCCATCTGCTACATAACCTTTCTGACCTGGCTTCTTTTGATAATTACTTATTTTTCCATTTGAGACCACTGATACCCCTCAATTTCTGTGTCGGTCTCTGGACTTATATTACATCTGGTATTACCTCTCTAAGCAACCTGTCATCAAATATTATAGTGCTCGTAGCAACTGTTGGATGACTGCACAAAAATGGACTATTATACCCAAAATAAACCACATTTTGTACTATTAATTTTGTTGAGTGCAGGAAAAAGATGACGTATGCCTACGTTATTGTGACTCATTGCCTGCATACTGGTCATGTAGTTTCCCAAATATTTTGTCGATACCTACTATATTAATGTAGGTACTTGTAGGATATATGCAGATACTGCAGTTTTTTTTTCATTGTATTGAATGACCCAGGAAAGGCAGTGTTATCGTTTGGATAAGGGTGTAGATTTTTCTGCATGAGCAAACTGTCTCGTTCTGAGTGTGTACGTCACTGTAAATCTCATTCCCTCCTAGAATTTTTGTTAAAAAATTCCAAAATTGGGTGGACCCAGAAAAAAATTGGGTTGACTTATACTCTGCAATCAATAATATTTGATTTGTCGAGTGTTCATGGCATGTAGCTTACTGTGAAATAAAAAAATGTCCAATGGATTATGTGCTTAATGTTCTCAGTGGACAAAAAGATACTAAGTTTTATTGTAAAATTTGATATGAATTGAAAGATAAGATGTTCTTTCAAATAAGACTACAATGGAAACTGTGCATGAGATACCTCAGAGCTGTCAACAAATAACTGTGGCATTAGGAGATTTTAAACAAAACCGAATATCTGCATACAGTAGTGCCGGTCTCCAGACAGGAAGATATATCACCCATTTCTATGGGAGTTCTGCCAGTACTGCATACAGTAACCATATATGCTGTATATATTAGGTACAGTTTATAATTATATTTGTATCCATTCTATTAGACAATACAGTACTTCTAAAATAAAATAAAATAGTTCCAGTGTGTTTGGCCCCGTGGATGTCCAGAGACTAGTATCTAGGGTGTGTCAGATTTTGGAGCAAGGCATCCCAATGTTTAGCAGCTCATTTTTCAGGAAGCACTAAGTATTAAGGTCAGGAACCACTAAGTATTAAGCTTGTATATTAAGATCAGGAACCACTAAGTATTAAGCTCGTATATTAAGGTCAGGAACCACTGATTGTTAAGTTCATATATTATGGGACAAGTTAGCAGGGTTTGTCAGTCTGGTCAGTGGTGTTGTCTTGTGTAAAGATTTTTTTTTTCCAATGATTCTGAAGACACTGAAACTGGACTACCAAGTTTTAGTGACTCATTTATCAGGAACCACCAACTGTTAAGGTCTGATGATAATATGCAAGGTAACGTGGTGTGTTTGACACTTGATGGTGGATTTTTATTTGGTTTTGAAATTCGGTACAGTATTGTGCATACTTTTGGTGTTCAGAGACAAAAAGCAAGGTCTTATTTTGGGACTGGCCCTTGGACAATTTTTGCTACATTGCAATTAACCTTTCTAGGTATCAACCCCAGTTTTATCATGCAGTTTAAAAATGGTAAATCTGTGATATCACACAGTCCAAAAATTGTATATAGTACTCCTTGGTTCTGGTTTGTTAGATTTTTGTGTGCAAAAAGATGGCTATGTGAAAATATTGTATATACAGTGGTACCCCCCTTCTAGTAATATATAACAACAAATCGCAATATGTCCACTATGTATTTGTTTTGCCAAGTTTTTCAAAGTAAAAATCCCTATGTGGTGGTCAATAAATGTTCAAATATTCCATAAATTCTGGCATATTTGCTGAATTATGGATACATTGGTCGCTCCCTCACACAAGGGTATAGTTGCTGGCCCGCTGCCTAGAGGGACATTGAAAAGTGGTTCTTATGCTTGTTCAATTTGCACATACGTACTGCATTTACCAAGAAAGGGGGGGTACCCAATCCTCCTCCATTGTTTTGAATCAACGACAGGAATTTAACTATAATTACGCTTCACACCCATCGATTTATTATCATAATAATGAGCCACCCTTACAAAATACCTTCCAAAATTCTATACAGGAAATAAGTTGAATATTGTCTACAATCTGAAGACTCAAGAGTAAACATACTATGATAGTTGAAAAGAAAGTAGAACTTATTAAGAAGGTAGAGAAAGGAGCCTATAAGAATGCAGTAGCAACAGAGTTTATCCTAAAATATTTAAGATGAAGAAGATAATAAGTAAACCTAAAGAACATTGTCTTAATGCAGTGTGGCAGTGGTATAAAGCTGAGTAAATAAAAAAAAAATAGCAACAGGCTGGTTTCTCAGGAAACAAGTAAGGAGAAACCCTGCTAAAATGAACAGTACTGAGAAGTGTGTACACTCAGAGGAGTGGCTTAGTAGCTTCAAATGCAGTTATGGCATTAAACAAGTGAAATTAACTGGTGAAGCAGCAGTCTGAGGCTACAACTAGTGGAGCTGCTGATATTTCTGAGTTTCAGAGCCTTGTGGAAAAAGAAGTTTCATTGCCACAGCAAACTTAAAATGATAAAATCGGTTTTTACTGAAAAAGCAAAAAGTTACCAACATGATTTTAGGCTGATGTTGACAAAAGTAGACCTACTGCTGGGTACAAGCTCAATAAATAATGATAGTGTGCTGTGTTGTACCAGTGCTGGTGGCATACACAAATGTAATTGATTAGTGATTGGAAAAAGCTTGCAGCCTAGGCCACCATAAAGGGTATAGAATCCTTATGTGATTATTCCTGAAGTGTTCACCCATATGTTTTTACATGACACCAGAGCACTTAAGAAAAATATGCCTGCCATATAATAGCCAAGTGGTGTAATTTATGAATAAAATCCATTTCATCCAGATTTTTTTGGTTAACAATTGTAAATATTATTTTTGTTCATGCTTGCTTCATAACACCACTTCCTTCATCTAAGCCATGAACCAAGGCATCATTCAGGTCATTATACATTTTTACTAGAAAGACTTTGCAGGATTTATTACCAATCATGAGGGTAACCTGAAAGAATTTTACCAGCTACTGTGAAGATTGGGTCATTGTCAAGGAAACACCTGATGAAGGGCTGGAGGAAACATTTGAAGGTTTCCTTCAGGAATCCAAGCTTTCTGAGAGAAACCTAATAAGTTAGGAAATCCTTGGCTATCTTATGACTACAAAGTCAGCAAAATTGAGAAAGGTACTGATAAGTCCCTACTGAACCATTTGTAACATGACAAAAGATTATCGACTTGATAACATAATCTGAATCAAGAGGAAGTGCAGGAAGAATAATTACTTTAAGCCAATATGGAGGAGGCTTAGAATTATTTTCAGAATACAATATTGTGTATACTGTACTGTATTCCTAATAAAGTCGAAAAACTGAATACTGTATAGCATTGCACACACGTTCAACCTTTACAAGATGCAAAATATGTACGTGGATATTTGAAGAGAACCAGGAAACCGCTGACTTGAAAAACCATTTTGCATACCCCCTGCAAAGAAATCACAATTTTCTTTTAAGTGTTGCATCTGGTGCACTGACTGAGGCTGCTATTTCACCGTGTGATGTGTACCTGGTTCATCAAGTGAGCCTGCCCTCATCACAGTCTTTCTGTGCCTGACACAAATTGGCACGATAAAATGTCAACATGTTGGAGTGAGGTATATGGTAGAAAGCGTAAAAATAAATGTAGGAACAGTAAACACCATGTAACACCTTATTAATGGACCCTTGTCATTACCTTTTCTTTATATACTGCATTTCAGTCGTGTCGACCCCTACTCTTTGCCTTTCTTGAGAATGTAAGTTAAGCTTGCTTTCTCTTTCAACATGAGGTTTTTAATTATTGGGATTAA